CCATCAGTATGCCGCTTATTACATTGCAGGGCTTCTGATGGGCAGAAGCAAGTACTCAAATGTACTGCATTCATGGCATATTGTCGCAACTCAGATGGTTTTGGTAGATTATTTGGCAAACGGCGTGTCCACCACATGTCGCAATTCAGATGTTGCCCTCCTATGGATCACAACTTGGCTACTCGCTTGGCTTGATGAGAGGATTTCGATCATTTCACCACCCAACCATATTCATCCCCAAATGAAGAGTCAAGATAGTTTTCGTATAAAATTAACATTTATTGATTTAATGGGAAAGTCGTGAATAAATGCTTTCCACATGGCAAAGTAGCAGAGACAAACTATAGTGAATTACCAAACGGAACACAATACAAAACAACAATTCAGATATAGAACATGGAAAAACAGTACTTACAATATGACGTCTAACATGGGGTTGACCAGCAGGATCAAAGTCGGGAAGACGGTACACATTTTGGCAGCAACTCGTGAATAAGTAACTCAATTACGGAATCAAGTAAAGTGTTATCGAAATGCATTATAATAGTAATGAATAAGTAATCAGAAATGGGTGATCAATAATAATCAAAAATCAGTAATGATCAGTAATGAATCGCTTATCGATTCGGAATCTATTTATATTTGGAATCGATGCTAACATTGCAATTTTCCGCAATGGCAATGCTCGATACCGGGCGTATAGCTTGGCCCGCATCGCAAGCTAAGCGGTTTCATGCAAATTTTACCGGAACTAGAGTCTATGAACTCCGCTTTGACCTGATCGAAACGTTGTACTTTATGTTTTAATTTGGAAAAGTTAATTTAGGAATGAAGATCTAGAAATGAACGAAAGTTATTTCATAGACATTTGTACTTCTTGACAATATCTTCGGCCCGATTGAGACTTTCAGAGACTGCCATTAATTGTCCGCTTGAGTATTTTTATTCCCCCGATAGAGGAGTTTTTCAGGGCCGTTGGTTAACGGGGTTGAATAAATTCAATATTCATGGTATTCTGTTTTTTGATGTCCCATTTTTCAACTAGGTTTGTCAAAAAATATACAGGGTAATGCTAATGCATATATCTCAGTGAAAATAGGTTTTTTGATAGGTATCCCAGTTTATATCACCACTTGGAAAGCAACGTATCTTATTTTCACTCAGATTTGCATCACTCTCTTTATTTTCAAACTGGTTGAAAAAGTGGAACTTCAATAAACAGAATTGAGGTCTCCGAGTTTTTTGTGAATCCTCTGGGTATAACAGAAATGTGAAATTCACTCCTTACCTGAATTTGTTGAATAATTACATAAAATCTCTGAGATGGCATCCTGATATCACAGTTATTTCCAGGAACTAGCAGTATAAACACCCCATACAAAAACAAGAACTGAAAATATTCATGTGTGTATATTATTGCCATGATCACAACCAATACATATCATAACTATATGGAAACATCAAACATCTCAATTCTAGTTCTACGTATCACTCTGTATACTCATTATAAGAAGGTACCTACAATTTCCAATAATATGTATTTGTGTTTCATCATGCAGGATAGATACTTGTTTTTCCACTTGTTTCGAAAAGTTGCTAACTCTAGGTCAAGAATTACATCACCTATGTACCTACCAACTAACTTGAAAGTTATGTAGGTAATCAGTTATCATATTGATCAAGTTATTGTCAACAATAGAGTTCAATCCACAATAAGAAAACAATTGCCAGATATGGAGAACCTTACTCTTCATCATATTGATATGAGTGTTGCCTGGAAGTGAGATATCATAAACCATGAAGAAATTCATATCATAGTATGGATCATTGTGTGATTTCTTCATTAATATCTGTGATTGATGGGCTTCTGGCTGTTGATTTTGTAGCTGAAAGATTGAATGATTTCATTCTCTACTAATCCAAAACATGCAACATTATACATACCTACATATTCTTGTGTATCCGCTGAACATGTCCAAACTATCATTGCATCTGTTTGTCCAATGGTGTTTGTAGAATTATTGTCTAAAATTGGAGAATTATTTAGCTGTGCAAGTCTGTATATATGTGTTTACCTTACTCACTCTGTATTTATTTCAATGTCCTTCCATTTTGTATAAAAATCCACTAGAAAACCAAACACGAACTGAACACAGTACTAAAATCTCTGTTGAGAGTGTTGAAACAACATAAACAAAGAAATTAATAAAAATAAAAACGTACGCGAGCGAGGGATGCCAACGTTGAGTGAGAGATGATGGCACACTCCGTTGAAATTTTGATGGCCCTTGGACTTGGATACATACAGCGGAAGACTAGCGGCTGTGAAACAGAGGTCCATCATAACTATGTGTACATTCTGCCTTCGTCACATAATCGTTAGAAATTATATGGAGGGCCTTTCGAGGCATGCCGACATCGACATTTGCCCGCCGTTCTCGCCATGGGCCCGGCTTTCTACCGCCTGTCGATGTTTGCTGGGTATATACATTCAAAGCTCTCGGATCCATACAAATCCTCACATCACCATTAGGTTTCGTATTGACGACAATTGGATGAACCCAATTTGTAGGCTCCACAATTTTTTCAATAAGTTTCTGAGATTCCATCTCATTTAGTTTCAGACGAACTTTCTCTCTTAAAGCTTCAGGTATTTTCCTAGCCGCATATACATTTTCGGAACAGCATCATCTGATAATATAATTTTACACTCTGTATTAACTTTTCCGATTCCATTAAAAATACTTTTGAAATGAGAAATAATTTCGTCAGTTTCACTAACATTTATTTGATATATCTTATTTTTGATAAGTTTCAAATCTATAGCCCCAGATAAACTTAGAATTGATTGTGAAATATTATTCGAAATAACATGGAATGGAAGTATTTTTTCTATATCATTATATTTACAATTTACAAATATTATTCCATTCGTATTTATCTCATATCCTGAATATGGAGTTAATGAAGTATTCGTTTTAATTATTTTATCTTTGTAATCAATAGTTTCAAAATCAGTGTAATTGAGAATATTGACTTCACTTCCCGTATCTATTTTCAGTTTTATAACTGAATTATTAATATTAATTTTTTCCACCCATTCGATAGTATTCACATTTCCTCCAAAAACAGACCATACAAAGTTTTGTTCATCATATACTTGATCAGAACTATCAGAAGTCTCGGTGTTATTTTGTATGTAATTCAGAAATTTCATGGACTTTTTTATTTTTATTACAAAATTTGGAATAATGTCCCTTCAAGCCACATTTATTACATATTCTATAAAATGCAGGACATCGGTTTGGGATATGATCAGTTCCACAATTTAAACAACCTATTTTCCTATTATTCGCATATGATGAACTAGGTTTTGTTGAAATATTGTTTGAAATCAAATTGATTCTACCTGAGTTAGTGTTGATGATATTTTGAGTAGTCACACTTGTTTCAAGGCTTCTACAAATACTCACAGCCTCTTGTAGGGTGAGATCTGATTTTTGTAATAATACACTCTGTGTTTTTTTATCAAAAATTGCTAGAACAATCATGTCTCTCAATAAAATGTCTCTATCTTTGAATTCACATGAATATATCAAAGTTTTGAGATCAATTAAGAAGTCATCGAATGTTTCACTTGAGTTTTGATAACGGCTGAAGAATCTGAAGTGTGAAAGAACAAGGTTCTTTATAGGATTACAATAGTTTTTGAATTTTTTTATAACTATGTCAAAAATGTTATTACTCTCACCTTCGTCATATTCAAACGTATTAAATATTCGCAACCCTTCATCACCAATCAAGTTTAGATTGCTTCTTTTACATCAGCGGGCTTTTTATCAGACCCACTTGCTTTCATGTAGATTTCCAACCTTTGGTACCATAACTTCCATTTCTCCGAAATATTTTCGTTGAATTCCATTGCAGGAATAGATTTTGCTGAATGCTCCATCTTTCTTTATCTTCGTTCAGAAGCGTATAGGACTTTAAAAGCTGCCACCATGTAAAGATATCAAAGATATTCTCAGATAACAATTTGATTGATGAGTAGAATATTGAGTGAAGTTTTATTCTGTAAGTTATTATTTATAAAAGTCATGACAACAACAACTAGTATATACTGAGTATATATCACAGAAGCAACTGTGAGGAGAGGATATCTTTGTTCAGAAAATAATGGTTATCATTTTGAACATTTGTTATGAATGTTTCTGTAGGTATTGTCGAAGTTAAGTTGTTAATGTAATTCGTGTAAGAATTCATCAACAATTTTAAGCGCTGCACTGAATGATGTAGTGAAATATTTCTTATTTACTCCTCAGTATTGAATAACTAATCCATCAATGTTTGACACTAAATGATCAGTAATAAGTGGAACTGATGGCACTTTTCCTTTCCAAGTTCGAAAAAACATTGATGATGGATAGAAATAGGTCGAAACACATTCTAATGACCTTGTATCATACATGGTTGAATTCAGAATAAAAAAAACTTTCAGAATCTGTGAAAAAATTATCAGGACCGTATTCAAAAAACAAAAGTTGATGATGGTTCTACGGATACGAAACGTCGCATACCAAAATCGGTTTCACCACGTTAAACGTCATCAAAATTTGCCATGGAAATCTATTTTCAGTTTTTCTGTACCTCTAATAATAACGAAGAAAAAAAATTAGATATTCCAAAAATTCACTTTTTTCGATATAACTCAAAAACTAGAAATAATTATTTTAAAAATGTTCGAAGGCTCTTGGTATGAGCCTCCGAATGCGCAACTTTTTCATCATTTAAGAGAGACCGTGGTATAAATATAAGTGTTCGAGGTCGAAGAAAAAATGTAAAATGAACCTCGGCAAAAAACTGTCGATTGTCTCACATGATTGATCGCATCGACTATTAATTTGCAAGCTCGACTATATATACTATATTTATATACATTGATGAAAATATTCTAGGAGAAAGAAAATCGTCATAATTTCTAGATAAGCTCCTATAGGTACCTTCTTATTGAATGGGCAGCTTTTCGTCTGATTTCAGCTTGCCGAATAGCTAGGGTTCTTCTCAGATTCTTTTGGAGAATGATCGCAGATTCCCTCATTTTGAGGTAGCGTCTCCTCTGCACCAAACCTTTCCAAGCTGATTGAATGATGGCAGCAATTTCATTTTTCTTCAGTTGAAAAGCATCTTCTGTGCTGAATAGGGTCTTCGGATGCCGAATGAAGATTTTGGTCCTGAAACACATATGTGTTGGATTTGATAATATGACCAAGCCAGTAGTCGATTCTTAACCGCCATCAATGAATGTTTATAGAATTTTAATAGTATATTAGAGTATGAGTGGATATTTAGGTCTTTGAAGCATGCTCGAAATAGAGCAAATGTTTCAAAGACTAGTTATTCACGAATAATTTAGGTACCCTATTTTTTTTATTGGTAAACTTTGAGATAAGAAAAAATATGGAAATAACAACTAATAATGTATAATGGTTGAACATTAGTAGGTGATATTCATTCGGAACGTCTTTCAATCCTCCATATGATACCAGAATTTCAGACAAGAATATATATCTATCCATCCAAAACCAAATGAAGGTTTGAAATCCCATACCAGGATTCATTCGACTAGATGGTTATTAACGTGTTCTCGTGTGAGCATCTACACAGTAAGAAATTTCTGGATGTAATTCAAAACAACTGGATTTCAGAAACAACTCCGATTGAATCTACATTTGATTAGAAATGTTATATCAGTATTATTAGAAATTTGATAATACCGTGTACAGTGGTGTTAATTCAAAGGGGTTCTGAAATATTCATCCACATGGTATTATTGAAGTATTGTTATCGAAGTAGATACGAACTGTGAGTTAGTGCTTATATTCAATTGACATTGCCCGTCACGAAATCCACGTTACCTATAAAGCAGTGCCCACATTCACCCTCTTTCATTAAATATTGTATATCAAGAATATTAGCGTCTTATTCCCTGAGAGAAAGAGGCTCATCAACAGCCTTTGCGATATAGTTCAAAGGGAATTGAATCACACAAAAAAATGGTGTCAAACAGTGGGACTCAACGTCAACATCTACAAATTCCACACTAGTAACGCATTCAGTCATACAGGAGGAAAACGAATAGATGCGCAGGTAGGTCATCTAGTGAAAGACAGAAAGGTGAAATATCTAGGCCTTATCCTACGAAGCAAACTCCTCTGGAACAACCATGAAGTAAAAGTAACTGCTAAAGCCCAATAAATTCTAATATGGTGAAGTGAAGCATTGGACCACTAAATTTCCAGTAGTGCTTCAGTGTTTGCTGAGTGAAGCAAGAGAAATAATGCCTTCGATAAACCATCGTTCTTTCGTCAGTAAAGAATGTAGGTACCTACTAGAACTTGAATTTTTCTATTCGCGATAGAAAATAACACGTTGCCCCACCTGACGGCAACAACTTGAACACTTCTGAACGGTTTGTTTTGATGATGTAACCAATGAGCACAAAAAAAAACAAATGTGAACCAATGGAAACAAAGTAATCAGGCCGCTTTTACAGCTTTCAATGATTCCGATAGGTGGCGTACGCTTATTTTCTATCGCGGATACATATATTAGAATGAGTAAGCTTACTTTCCCATTTGGTATTCTTTGTCGCCATAGGCTAGGGAACGCACCAAAGCTTCTACCCCGTCTTTGGCGTTTCCATTGTAGTTTGGCCAAGTGTCTTTCGAAAGACATTTGTATCTCTTTAGGAATTGTTCGTAAGTTCGGCGATAGGCGAAACCTGCTCTTCTTACACGTAAGTTTTCCATTAGACCCAGATATGTGACTTGATTAGTGACTAGATGAGAGTCGAAGTAAGCTAAAACACAAATATAACATATAAATAAATTCCTTTGTATATAAAATCACAGCTTGAAGAATACAGCAACTTATGTGCCAGCGGCACTTGGATCTGAATTACATTTCAATAAGTGACTAGAGTGACAGTGCCGAATTTATACTGCTGACCAATCATAAACAACTTGTGTTTTCACGAAAACACTATAGCTGCCTTTCAATTCTGATGGGTCTATCAGCGCTGGTGTTTTCAACTATGTAACCATGGATAGCGAATAGAAGTCTGTCAGTTATTTGACATGAAATTATTATAGTTGTAGAATGAATCGCTCAATTATAATAAATGCTTTTTATGCTTCGTGAACGTGAAATAGTCTTGCGAAATACCAAAATACCATTGTTAACTCAATTGTGTTGCCGTACAGCAATATGCAATCGTCCTGACGGACTCGTGGTATTGCTCGGCAACACGATTTCGGGAAAAATTGAGTGACATACATATTTCGAATATTCAGAACATCGTGATATTACCTATGACAATTTGCGAGATAGACTTTGATCTCATGGACCATGCTAATGGAACATGCTCATGCCTTGCGCAGAAGGGTTTTTAGGTGAGCAATCCTGCGAGTAGCATATTTCTATAGGTCATTATTATAAGTTTATTGTATTTATTCACTATTATATTGGCTTTTTTCAACACTATGCTTCATGCTCCATATACCCACATTCAAGGTTCGCCTTTGTGGGTCTTTGAAGTTTGTTTACCGAGTGTGAATCTGAAGATTTGTATATTTCTTGTAGATAATCTAGTTATTTTTGTTATTATTGTTTTATTGCACAGTGGTTAATAAACTTACTTATTATTATTATTATTATTAATTTGGATGAGATTTTTGGTTTGTTGGGTATTATATATTGTAAGGTCTGTATAGAATTAATAAAAATTACTTTTGTTCTGAAAGAGTATTATTCATACGTTATCAATACCTAATATAATAGCAAACACTATATTGGCGCAGTCTAAAGGTCAGAATCTTTCTTCCGAGGACACATTAGGATGGCTACCATTGGTTCTTTGGAACCCCTTTCTTCAAGCGAATAATGTTACGAATACTTTACGCCAAAGAAGTCAACATTATATAGTCGGTAGATTTAATTTTCACTGTCGATTTCAACTGCCTAATGAATCAATTCCTAAGTTTATTATTAGTGAGCTCAGATGCCTCCCTAACAACACAGGGATGTCCTAGGAACGTCCCTTTTTTGTCCCGCGGTACAAGGACATGATTGTGGTTGTCCAGTGGACATCCCGCCCGGTACATCCCTAGGTTATCCTATTCGTGTCCCTGGAGTATCTGATATCCATTCACATCAGAGTCATTGAATTTCATCAAACTATTGAGTTGAATTTTTTTGAAAATGTTTGTTAATTTCTCTTCCGGAAAATGATTGTAATGAAAATGAAGAATAAAGTCTCAGAACTTCTTAAGAAATTACCATTTTTCGCAGACAGAAATCGTACATGCATAATTAATGCCCCTCATTTTTAAACACCCAAGAATGATGATAATTATACCCAATTCCTAATAAAGTTGTATTTACTCAGGTTTCTGTAGTTAAGTCCTGTTTATGAATCTGTTTAGTACATAAATCTTCAGGAGGCATGATAGCTAATGGAGCAAGGTGCGTGCATGATAAGCCGAAGGTCCCGGGTTCAATCCCTACTCGACCTGCAAATTTTTTTCTTTTGTCGAAAGGATGTCCCTGGGATATCCTTGGGACGTCCATGGGAAGTCCCTAGGCTGTACTGGTGTTGTTAGGGCTGGCTGCAGACTGTTCATTCAATGAAGACGTACTCAAAGAAATTTTGAGAGACAGACTAGTTTGTGAAATACGTGATCAGAATCTACAACATCGGTTATTAGCGGAAACAGAATTTTGACATTAAAAAAAGCAGAAGAAATTTCTTTAGCTTCGGAAGCAGCTGCACTGAATGTAAATCTCATCAGAGAACCCAGAGGGTGACATGCCGGAAGAGGTTTATGCTCCTGTTTCGGTTCCAGTCGTTCCTGCAGGAAGTCGAAGGAATGCCCCGAGTCCAGTTGTGTCGAAAAGCCGTCTAAGTGATGTCGGAGAAAATGAATCTACAGAGTCGAACGACACAGAATCACGAAATGAAACTAAATTACGAGTGGACCAGGAATAGCCAGCCGTCCGAGGACGAAAAATCTTCCAGCTAGATTACAGGATTTTGTTACATAATTTTCAACTTGGGGAAGGAGTGTTATATATCATAGGTAGCTCTGATGTCTTGACATTGTTAATAGTTTGTCTGTGTAGAATTATTGGGATATGATATACCGGGCATGTAACAGAATCACATGGTACACCCCCTTGTTGGCCTTCAGTTTCGGAGATGAATGATTGGAATTTGGAATGACCCATCAACTTCATGAAAGTCACGTTTTGACATACTTAAATATGTTTTATTATCCACATTCATAGTTTCACCGGTGATAACTTTTGACTTTTGAATGGAACACCCTGTATATCATAGCATTTTCGAATATTGCATCATTTTCTGAATCTAAAGACAGGTAGGAACCACATGAAAGTGACGGAGATAAAATGTCACTTTTCATAAATTACTTTTTACCCACGGGAAAAAAGTGAATACTGTTTTGCAGGATATATTCCACATATACAGTGTGTCCACCTTAAGAACTTACCACCCCTGTAAAATCGTTACTATTCGACCAATTTCAAAAAACATTTTTTTGTTGGATAGGTATTTGAAATGCCCATCCAACGAGAGAGTGATCTAATTCTTGGGCTGTTATCGTGGCCAACTGCGACAAATTTCGGTGACCCATATTCCAGAAAGTACTATTAGGGATCTTTTTCCACAAAACTTGATGATGGATTCTGAATCAGTACCACTTGAAATATACCTGTACCGATTTTCATCATCATAAAACACGGGGTGTCCGAAAAAACAAATCATCATTTTCTTCAAATAGGTGATCAGCAAATGTAGTTCTGTGGTTTTTCTAGAGAGGAATAATCACAAATTATTATTGAGGATAATTTCAAATATACCTGTACCAATTTTCGTCATTTGAATATACAATGTGTCTGAGAAAAAATTAAAAAGGTTAGGTAAGCAATATTTTTCATCGTGATAATTCTTCACTCAAAATAAAAAGATGAATCAGGATCACTTGGAACATACCTGTACCGATTTTCATCATCATTAAACACAGGGTGTTCGAAAAATCGAATTAATATTTTTTTGAGTTGATGAAAAAATATGGCCTACTTTTTATTTTTAATTGTTTTCTCATACACATCGTATTTTTGAATAATGAAAATCGGTACAGATATGCTCAAAGTGATCCTCAATAATAATGTGTCATCAATTCTCCTCAAAAATACCACAATACTACATTTTCTAATCACCTATTAAAAAAAAAACAGAATTCGTTTTTTAGAACACCCTGTGTTTTATGATGATAAAAATCAGTAAAGGTGTTTTTCAAGTGATCGTGATTCAGAATCCATTATTGTTTTTTGTGAAAAAAAATCCCTAATAGTACTTTCTCAAATATGGGTCAATAAAGTTGGTCGCAGCCACGATTACAGTTCATGAGTGAAATCACTCTCTTGTTGGATGGACATTTCAAATACCTATCCAACAAAGAAAAGTTTTTTGAAATCGGTCAGATAATAACAATTCTACAGGGGTGGTAAGTCCTTAAGGTGGACACACTGTACATACATATATACACTGTTGATGACTTTTGTTGTGCTATTGTTCCGAAAAATAAGCCAATAACATCGTCTCCGAGAAATAACTGCAAGTCCCTTTACCTTCCATACGAATTCGCGGTTACGTATATTACTAAACAACCACTAAATTCGCCATTTTTCAAAATCAATAAATCACTGAATTATACTGACAGATATTTGTTTACTTCAAAAGAATGATAAAGATGCCTGCAACGTAGGTGTCATTCCTGTTGAAAATTTCAAATGTCACGTCGATAATTTTCTGATTATAATATAATGTAATATCTTCTCAATATTGATTCATCCTTTTTCCTGTCACAGAAAAAAATTGTGTATTATACACGGGAAAATATAAGATTTTAGCTAACGGTTTTTGTCTCCCTCCGCTGTAGCTAAATTCTACTACTTTTCTCCCTTGTATAATAAATAACTATTACATCTGAGCAGACCTATTGACTGATGTGTAATGCTAGAAAAACTGAATCCTGTAAAGAACGTCAAAAATTTCTTGATTTATCACCAAATTGAGTCCATCGGAATGGTTTTATAGAAAACCCGATGATTTTCCATCAAATATCACTGCATGAGCTTGAAATTCTCCTATTAGAAACTCATACGAAAAATTAAATCGATAGTCAGTGACACCGTTTGTTTACAAATTTCCTGAAAGGATAATGCTTGAAAATTATACTTACGTGGCATATGATTATTGTGCCATTGAAACATTCCAAAGTGTGCTAAAAAAATTGGGCGAATTTTTCCCGTCAAGGAAACTTAAAAAAATTAATGGAACAGATGATCAAGATTAAAGCGCTCGTAACTTCACAAGAAATGACCTAATTCAATGCGAAACTTGTTTCGATACATAAGTGTATTATGGCCATAATATAGTCTTGAACATTGACCATTCTATAATAAAAATCGCTTTTCTAGACCCACCTGCTCTTTTCGAATCATTGGGCTTGATACATCTGATGTATGAAGGCTCCTTATCTCTCAATATATTCATGAGGTTATTTACGGACGTTTTGAATTGTGTGATTGCAGTCTCTGGTCTCTTCTTGCTCTTTTGTTCCGATTCTAGAAATACTGACTTGATAATACTGTTGTCTGAATTGACCATCACTTCTCGCAAATCTCTAAACAGGAGATCGTTGTTTTTTTCGATGAACGTTTTCACGTTGTAGGTCACGGCTCCAGCATAGTGAATCAGTCTAAATTCCTAAAAACATATATAATTATAATGAAATAATAATAAATTATTAACCTGGCGGAGTTCAGCCACTCAGCTGATGCTGCTCTTCCACTCAACCAGGATACGAGATTAAATACAAATCGTACACAAAAATATTACATAATACCTATTCAACTGTGTATGTGGACTAAGAATATTTATTGATATTCATGTTTTTTTTATTGATCACTGTTTGCCGTGTAAGAACTTCTTCATTTGTTTTTCAAAAGTTATGAAGGACTGCAATTGCATAAAATCATGGTATCTGTTAAATTTTGATGCCGACTGATATGAAAATGATCGTTCATAGGAAACTGATGAGTGTTTAGGTATAGTGAGAATCGTGTTGGTGCGCAGGTCTCACTTAGGTATTTCATCTCGAGGTATGAGTTTATACATAATTGGTGCAATTCCCGTCTATTCTCCATTTTTATTCAACCAATTTCTCTTATAAGGGGCGATACATGTTCCTTATACCTAAGTAATATTATATACAGGATGTTGCGAAATTCGACCGACAACGCTTGACAGGTGATAGCCCTCGTGATTTCATAATCACTGAGATAGAGACATATGGTCTTCAAGTGTTCAGTTCTCGAGATACAGGGCGTTGAAGTTCAGAAATTGAAATAGTTTTTTCGCAATATCTCACGAAAAATTTAATATAATGCATTCAAATTCGGTATATGGTTGCATCTTTCAATGGTTAATTTTTTGACCAGAAAGACATTCCGAAAATGTTATCCAGAGGTGCACTACAGAGGGTTGTGATAACTTTTCCTCCCATATTTTCTACGCCACTGATGAAATTCCAATTATTTCCAATTTCTCGAATTGATTGTTCAATTATGTTGAAAAAATGCATCACCTTCAACTGTGCTAAAATGAACAGTTATCGAGATATTTGACCCAAAATAGAAGTTTGCATAGTAATTTTTCATCTTCCTCAGTCTCCGAACAATCCTCAGTATTAGATAATTACAAAAATTTTTGTTTTTTCTTCATGCGTGGAATAACTATTTCTGTTCAGCTATAGAATGGGATCTGAATAGTATCTAATCTACTCATCACCAGAAAAATATTTTTGCAATTTTCTACTACTGAAAATGATGAAATATTACTATGCGATCTTCTATCTTGGGTCGAATATCTCGAAAACTGTTCATTTCAGCTCAGTTGAAGGTGATGCATTTCCTGAACAAAATTGAACAATGAATTCGAGGAATTGGAAATAATCGAAATTCAATCAGTGGCGTAGAAAATATGGGAGGAAAAGTTGCCACAACCCCCACTGAATAAAATGTCCGGAATGGCTTCCTGGTCAAACAATGACCCATTCAAAGATGGAATCATATATACCAATGTTGAATGCATTATATTCAATTATTCTGAACTGAACTGAACACTTGAAGACCGTATGTCCCTCCCTATCTTAGTGATTACGAAATTCACGAGGACTATCACCTGCCAAGCGTTGTCGGTCGAATTTCGCAACACCCTGTTTTGTATTTTTAGGATTCGTAATGAGGTTACATGATCAATATGGTCGAATTGTGCATAGTTACCTATATACACTTATTTATACATGTTTACGATTGTAATAAGTATTCACGTTATTTTGCTTCTTTTATTTTTGTGCCTGGAAAGTTGGATTCCTCGCGAATCGATCTGGCAACAGTGTGCATGTGGTGCCGCATGGCGATTTTGACACAAGTGCACGAAAAGACGTTCAAAAAAGGTGTCGATTAAACGAATTTTTAATACTAATATGCAATAATAGTGACGGTTTGTGGTCCAAGGGGTGAGCAGTCTCTCAAAAAACAGAAAACTGGCGCCAGTGAAGAAATGCAGAGCGAGAAGTAGAAGGTCGTGAGTGAGGTTATCCGATTTTCCGGCAAATGGCTAGAGTTCCGATGCAAATTCATAGACTAGGTGTACTATCGTGAAAAATAATACATATACAGGGTATCCCAAAATTGCTTGGAGCGCACGAAAGGAAATTCCTATAATGTTCGTGGAACATCATGTGCACATAGGGAGGATATGGAGAGAAGGTAAGTATTGGATTTCTTTAAAACTTTTGGAGGTTATAGGTTCTTTGGAATACTTCCATTGGCAAAGAATTCCAGTTCTATAGACTAACGGGTTTTGGTAGAGTGTTGTTCGACATTTTTCAAGGTTGACAACGAAGGGATGTGCTGACTGGGCCTGTTGAGTTCGTCTGACTGGTATTGCTAGTGATGGAATCATGGCAGAGATTTCTGAGGAACATTTCCCGTAGAAGTATCTATAGAAAAGTGATCTGCCAGAAAGAAAACTCGATAGAAGATGGCATAGCTGAGGTGGTAAGCCGTATGATGGTAGTTTTTATTGGAGCAGTCCTTGGTGCCAAACACAGTCGGATACCTTCGATATATCTAATGCTACAGCTAGATATTCCCCATGTTTTTCTAATGAAGCTTGCCATATATGGGTGACCCCCGGAAGTTGATCTTAAAAGCCATATATTGTCTATCATTAATGATTCCTGAACCTTCCAGATATTTGATGAGCTCAATGTTGATGGCTTTCTTCATCACTTTGGAGATGACTGAGAACAGGGCCATAATTATATCCTGCATATTGACACATCCTGTGAAGTGGAAATGTGTTTATCGTCAGAGGAGAAAACGATATGTCGTCTCTAAAGATGAATATTGACGATTTGTTGAATGAAACATCTCGAAATGCTAAGAACAACTATCTACCTGTTTCCTAACAGAGGGCCTAGAAAATTGTTGAATGGTAGCTTGGACCTTCTAGATGGTTTCTAGTAGATGGAAAATATAAGTAGGGTGTTAACACCCACTTCAATTTAGAACGAAATCAGAAAAACAATTATAAACACGGTCAACTTCCACTACGGAAATTCGTAATTATGTAAGCGAATCGATATCAGAAGATAATAAGGAGAGTAAAGAGTCTGTCTGGAAAAATTCATGTTTGTTTGCCAGCAGAAAGACTATGAATTTTGTGCGACTACCCCATCTCTCGTGATTGCACAAACCCTAAAAGATTGGGTGAGGAGAATGGTGAGGAATATTAGGAATACACAGTTGAAATTGATATGGAAAACTATATAAACAGGAAGGTTACTTCAATGAACATAAACGTAAGACAAATCCATTTGAATATATCGAATTCAAAGGTGTCAGGGTTGCGAATAATGCAAAAAAGCGAAGCCTACACTGTTCATGAAATAATCTTCCTGAATATCACTCGACCATGACAAATAGAGACTATTATTTCCATCTCGAGTAACTTGTATTTTGGGACAATTCAATTCGACCATATGAATATAAATAATCATAGAATATTCAGATTATTAATGTTCATATGGTCTCATCAAATTGTCAAAATACATCAAAAGGTACTCTCGATAGAATTATGACGAAAATAATAGTCGGCTATTTGTCATGGTCTCGGGATATTACCTGCGAAAAGAATGCATGCAACAACGTGTCAATATGACAGAAAATAAAAACATATGGATATACTTGAAGCAATAGTTCCTTATTGTATTCAAAACTGTATCCGAGTGATAAATTTCGATACAGGGGTAGGCGAATATTTCCTAACGCTATACAGGGTGTTTCATTGGGAAAGGTAAATAATTCAACTGTGGATAGGGGTCACTGGGGTGATTTAAAAAAACCCATGGTTAATGGGTCTTCGACTTCTTATAACCGAGATACAGGATGTTTCATCAATTTTGTCCATATCTTCATTGTCTCATAACTTTCCAACCAACCTGTATATATTTTTAAAAATTGGTACACTTGCTCAATCTACCCTGTGGAATTGATTGAGGCAACAACAAAACATAAAATCCAGGTCCGGCCTCACTTAAAATTCACAAATTCTTTTTGCCAGAAAACAACACCCTATACATTCGAATTTCTCATTTTTTTTGCCATATCTGAAAAGAACATCAAAATTTCTATTCAACGATGTGCTTTTTATTCGTGCACAGACGATTTTAACTATTCATATTATGTGCTCAAAATATTATTTTTGCTCATTTTGGGGTACAAAATTGGAATCAGACGAGATTTATTAATTTTATTACTTCCTATTGAGTATACGTGAGTATTAAATTTAGAAGGAGTATTTCATATCGTTCTTTGTTCCAGACTTAGTTTCAGGTCCGTCATCAAAACTATACAGGGCTTTTCACGATGAGCGTTAATTTGACGTTTTCGGCAAACCAGACAACGGATAAATCTGAAATCTCGATGGTATGTATAAATTAACATAATCTACACTACTGAAATATTTGAAACGATCCGGCCTTGCCGCTTCTACTAGAAAGTAGCAGCAACTTCGATTTTTCAAATGGTACACCCTGTATTTCATTACATTCTTGGATTCTTGCTGAACAGCAGAATTCATCGATTCAAAACATTCAAGGTCTAGCGGGACTGATAACTGAGATATAGGATGTGGAAAATCGAGATGATCCAACTTTAGAAATGTTTTATATTGAAACTATTTATTATTGCATGGTCAAAACAGCTTCAATGTCCCTATCACAACGTTCCATTCGATATTCAATTGAAACAGATACAGGGTGGTGCATTAATCCGAATTATGAACCATCCTGTATTTGTTTCGATTAAATGTCAATAGAAGTTAAGATAGGGACATAAAAGCCGTTTTGATCAATAATAAATATTTTCGCAAAATAATTCTAAAGTTGAAACATCTCGATTTTTCGCACTCTAAATATCTCAGTTATTAGTCCCACTAGACCCCGAACTTTGTGAATCGATTAAATCAGCTCTTCAGGAAGCATCCAGGGTGTCCCATTTGAAAAATCAAAGTTACTGCTACTTTCGAGTAGAAGCGGCAACGCCGGATTGTTTCAAATATTTCAGACGTGTAGATCATGTTAATTTATACATACCTTCGAATTTTCAGATTTATCCGTTGCCTGGTTTGCCAGAAACATCTAATTAACGCTTATCGTGAAAAGCCCTGTATAGTTTTGATGACGGACCTGCAACTAAGTCTGGAACAAAGAACGATATGAAATACTCATTCTAAATCAATGTAATACTCACGTATACTGAATAGGAAGTAATAAAATTAATAAATCTCGTCTGATTCCAATTTTGTACCCCAAAATGAGCAAAAATAATATTTTGAGCACATAATATGAATAGTTAAAATCGTCTGTGCACGAATGGAAAGCACATCGTTGAATAGAAATTTTGATGTTCTTTTCAGATATGGCAAAAAAAATGAGAAATTCGAATGTATAGGGTGTTGTTTTCTGGCAGAAAGAATTTGTGAATTTTAAGTGAAGCCGGACCTGGATTTTATCTTTTGTTGTTGTCTCAATCAATTCCACAGGGTAGATTGAGCAAGTGTACCAATTTTTAAAAATATACACAGGTTGGTTGGAAAGTTATGAGACAATGAAGATATGGACAAAATTGATGAAACATCCTGTATCTCAGTTATAAGAAGTCGAAGACCCATCAACCATGGGTTTTTTGAAATCACTTCAGTGACCCCTATCCACAGTTGAATTATTTACCTCTCCCAATGAAACACCCTGTATATGATAAAATTATGCAATCCGGTTTGATTCTATAAGATTGTTTGGTGAAAATGAAGTTGTTGATTTTTTATAGCCATTATGATTTGAAAATTGGCAACGTTATGCATAAAATGTGAGTGTAACAATATTTTTAAATCGATTTCACTCGAAAATGATACATTTGATCGATACGAAACAGGAGCACCTTTTTTCTGTAAAACGTTGTGGATTTTCACAATCCGAGATTAAATTGTCGAAAAAAAATGCATATTAAAAAGTTCGAGCAATATTTATTGTAGTCCCACCATGTATTATATACTGCTGAATGAAATGTTGGGAAGATTTTATTTTCAATGCATTGGGCATGGAAAGTTTAGTTCTTGTACCGAAAGGCATCATGTTATCATCAGGTGTTTCTTCCTATTTTTGGTCGAAGAAGCCGCAGGGGAAGTTTGGCTGTCTAATTTCGGGACAACCTGTATAACGTCATTTGAATTTATAATTAGGTATTTCACAAATTTCAAAGCGTTACTTAAAAAAGTATTTTTTCATATCTGCTGACAATTGACGAGAAACAGGAAAACTTGAATTTGTTAATTTTTTAAATTTATCTTGGACTCTACATATAAAACAAGATAGATGAGATATACAGGGTGTTTAAAAAAAATCAGACCCCCTTACTAGGGTAGGTAGAACACTGCAGAATAAGTTGGGTTTACTCAGTAAAAAAATTTCGTAACGGCATCCGCTATCAAGATACATGGTGTTGAAAAAATGATTTTCTTACACATTTTTCAAGATTATGTCGAAACTACTGCCACCATTGTGATGAAATTTTGTATGGATGTTTCTTGGAATCTGACACATCGCATGCATTTGTTTTTATACCGGACTCTCATAGAGGGCGCTAGTTCCACGGTTCGTACCGAGTAGTTTTGAACATAACTTTTTTAAGGATAGATTTTTCAATCCAAATTTGATGTGAACTTGAATATCATTCAATTTCACACCATAAAAGTTCTTTTGGTAAAACTCGATACTGTGTTCCGTTTTCGGAATATTTCGATTTGAAAATGATGAAGTGATAACTGTTGCTGGTATGAATCTATGTATTAGAGTGAGTATTATAAAAAATTATCACCTATTTGTTGAAAACCGAAAACAACAATACATTTCTGATACTAAACTCATTGATTTAACAATGAATCACGAGAATAACATCGAAACAGATTTGACTAAGAACATGGATTACACAGTTTTGTTGTATCTTGAGCAGAAAGTCTATGCTACATAGGTATTCACGTTAAGAGTTGTAAGCCATAATTGAACATCACTTAAATGACCTAACAGCTGATTCTCAATTGTTCAGAAGAATAATACATTCTTGAGAAAAGTATGTAGAATCGTATATTCGTCGAAACGTAGGACATTTTGAACACTTACTCTAACTGATTCAATATTTCATGATTCTAGTCAAATATCTCTTAATTTTCTACTCATGACTCTTTGTTCCATCAATAACTTCAGTACAAGAATAATTTTACTGTTTTTGAATCTGAATAAATAGGTAATTGAACTCAATGCAATTCATTTTATACCGGCATTAGCTATTTCTCCATTATTTTCAAATCGAAATATTCCGTAAACGAAACATGGTATCAAGTTTCACCAAGTTTTCCTTTTTTAGTGTGAAATTGAATGATGTTCAAGTTCATATCATATTTGGATTGAAAAATCTATCCTCAAAAAAGTTATGTTCTAAACCACTCGGTACGAACCGTGTAACTAGCGTCCTCTATGAGAGTCAGATAATAAAACAAATTCATGCGATGTGTCAGATTCCAAGAAACATCCATACAAAATTTCATTACAATGTTGCCAGTAGTTTCGACATAATTGCGAGAAATGTGTAAAGAAATAATTTTTTCAACACCTTGTATCATGAAAACAGATGCCGTTACGACATTTTTCCACTGAGCAAACCTAACTTACTTTACAGTGTTCTACCTACCCTCCAAAAAGGTCACCTTCATCTAGTGTTTATGATACACCACAATAAAGATTTCTTTGTGGCATAGGAGTCGAGACCTTAAACTCAGCAGCTTCCAGAACTTTACCACAATATTATATTTAATATAGATATCACTTGATATCTATAATAAAGTGATTTTCAAAGTCCATTTCGAAAGAAGTGATATGACGTATCTGAATGAAATAATGCGAACTATTCTCGGAGACATTGATGCTCTGCCACTAACTTATACATCAAGTTGAATCGCAGCACGTTTGGATGATTGCGAAGGAGACAATATCCCCGTTTGTTTGTATCTTGTTTGAACTCGTCATCACTAGACGTAAGTATGTCCGCATAACAACAGCAAAAAAACGCTGTGTCGAAACTTCAACTCAGATCAAGTGGTGGCACATATAAGGTTTTGAGATCTACCATTCGAATGGTAACGTATGGCATATAATTCTCATCTCGTTATCAAATAGAAAAATTTTGCGCAAATTATCGCACAGAAAATTTTTCAATAATTTTGCTCAGGATAGAGATTGACACAAATGGCTTCCGATGGAATACAATGTTTTCACATGCCATTGTGACTTAAATCATTTGGTTATCAGCTGACGGTCAAATTTTGCAGCAGCTTCTCCTACTCATTGTCTGCTAAATGGAGAAAAAATCTAGTGAGCTACTCCAGCTCACTAGATTTTTTCTCCATTTAGCAGACAATGCTCCTACTAATGATTCTATGAATGAAAATATCGAAGTTGGCTTCAACTTCAGATAGAATTTGCTAAGTTGCAAGTTTAATATTATCTCAGAACGCGAAAACATTGGTACCTATCCGTATACACATGAACTGTACTTACATCTCTTCCCATGATTTTTTGTAATTTCACATCAGCCTTCTGATGACTTATGTAATGCGGATGATATGACAGTTTTGTATTTAGTTTAGCAAGAAGAGTTATGTCACTTGGTTCTCCTGGCCTCAGACATTCTTCGTCCATGAATGAAATTAAGCCTGAAATAACATACTCAATATCCTAAACGTTTCGATTCACTAACCTACAAATGACTTACATTCATGCTTTTTCTCAATGAGATCGCAGATGATTGTATTGTCGAAAAACTCGATATGTTCCCATTCGATTCCTTCCTTCTCGTATTCGTTTTGTTCAGATTTCAGTGTCAAATCGATGAATAGCTGCTGAAGTTTCTCATTGCAGTAGTTTATGCAGAGTTGTTCAAAACTGAAAAAAGATCAGGAGTAGGTAGAGATATATATTTGGGATCAGAATATGACATTCGTATGCAAGAATCTGGGGATGCCAAATGTCTGTCTCATTTTAGATATCCTTGCAAAGTGTTGACTAATGAGTTGTTCCTTCACAGACTGAAGATTTCAATCAAGTAGTAATATTTTTCACAAAGAAGAAGTCATTACACACCACAGTTCATGAAATGAATGAAATTGGTAGACTACTTTCTGGCTCTATGTCTCCTCCCGATATCTATGCACCGACACGTAAAGACGAATACACCTGCCAGTGATTCTTTCCTGAATGCTGAGCTGTGCCCAAATCGTTCAGGAACGCTTGACTACCTACGAACCGGTTTCGAGCTTTTGGCTTCCATCAGGGATGTCTTCTTGACTGCCATCTGTTGCGAAACTAACCCAACTTGAACACATCCTAGCATTAAATACCCACGAGGCACTGATGACGGTTATCCGAGTGGCGTTTTTCCAAATAGGAAAAAGCAAAATACTCAAAGTGAAATGAAATGGTTACAAAAGAGGGAGAATAGTCAATACCACAATAGTTGATGAAATGAACGAAAATGGTTGATAACGAGAGAACAACAAATACTTTTCTGACCATATGCCACGCACTCACGCAGAACATTGAATTACATCCTCCTGATATCCAATGTGATTTTATCTGAAATGGGAATTTGTTTTGGAGTGAAGAGGAATATTCTCGGAGTGTTTTTATCCTACTATGTACTCAGATGGCGTTCAAGTTCATCTCGCCAAACTCCTCGTGGGTATTAAATGCTGGGATGTGTATGAGTTGGGTCAGGTTCGCACCAGATTGCGGCCGAGATGCCATCTGGAGACACCCCTGCCTTGATGAGCGTTCGTGAACTATTTGTCTTCGTCTTCACAAGTCATTGCATAGATATCGGGAGGATGTAATTCAATGTTCTGTGTGGCATATAGCCAAGAAAGTAGTAGTTGTTTTTCTCTCGTTATCTACTCTACCATTTTCGTTCATTTCATGAACTATTGTAGGTGATGACGTTGAGTTTCTCCCTCTTTGTGACCATTTCATTCAACTTTGAGTATTTTGCTTTTTCCTAGTTGAGTATTATTATGTTGTGCCAACAAAATCAACATTTCACACCCGATTTGAAGAAATCAAATAAAGACTACGGTAACACGAATTTGAAAAAAAATCTTGATTTCGGCAGCCATCTATGCCATAATTTTTAAATGTACAGAAACGGATAAATATATAATTAACGACTTTTGAAACATTTTGACTCCACCGCACTGGTTTCAGTATTATAATCCCAAAATGTCAATGAAACATAATCATCCAAAAACGAACATAGTTAATAAGAAACATCAATTTCAAAACCTTTCGTTTCAGTGAAGAAATCTCAGTCTGAATCTGATCATTTTTTTTAATCTTTCGGAGCGCACGAATGAAAATTACTATAATGTTGGAACCTAATGCTAATGATGTTCTTAACAAAAATGGGAATGAAGTCCGATATTTCACAATTTTGTTGAAAATGTACTTCTGTTGAAGATTGCTCAGAAATGGGTTGTAGGCAGACCTAATGACCCTAATGGAACAGTTTTTTTGACTTGAGGGATTTGTTTGACAGTATTCGGAAATTAGTAAACTAAAAGTACCCAAACCTACAAGTTGAGATAACCAGGACCTAAATAAACATACCGGGTGACCAGTTATATTCTGAACCCATTTCAAATGCTTATATCTCTGAAACCATTCAAGTTATCGTTGTGCAGTTTGGACTAGTATATTTTGATTTTTTTGACAGGTTCACCTTCTCACTTGAACTTCCGGTTCTATCGGAAACGAAGAAGCCATTATTCAGGTAAAGGGCAACTTTTTCATTCCATTGAATCACCCTGTATATTTTTGCACATTCAGAAAGACTGATCTTTTCTCTTTCGAACAATGTATAACAAGTTATGTTTTCTTAGAAAACTATCAGAGTTATAACTCTTTGAAGTATCTACTGCATATTAGGATGTTATCCTGAAATGCTGAATTACCGTATATTGAGTATAAATTTGATGCAGATTTATGATAAGTTTATTTGAAATTTTGTTCAACATCAGGAATAAATAAAAAACTGAACATGAATAATTATAGCAACTGTTCAAATTGTCCAACATTGTTTTGAATACATAGATTCGTCCTTTTTACGAAGTTATCAAAACTCCGACTCAACATATCGACGGGAATACTTTCTATCACGTTACGAATATTTTCTTTGAGCTGATCGAGATTTTGATGTACTGGATTGTAGCAACGACTTTTGACGTAACCCCATAAGAAAAAATCAAGTACTGTTAGGTCTGGAGACTGTGATGGCCATAGTATTGGGCCTCCTCTTCCAATCCAACAATGTCCAAAAGTGGCGTTCAAAGAATCTCTTGTGATCGCTGCATAGTGGGGAGTAGCTCCATCTTGTTGGAAATAAGCTATATCCAGTGAATTTTCCTGTTCCATCAGTTGTGGATAGAAAATTTTTTCCAACATGTCTAAATACGAAAGAGAGTTCACAATTGGATTATTGATAAAGAATGGACCATAAATTTTGTGCTTCGACATGGCACACCAAACGGTCACTTTTGGAGAGTCCCTGGCATGTTCATGGATACTTCTTGGATTTTCCAATGCCCAAATGCGGCAATTATGTTTATTCACTCTGCCATCAATGTGGAAACTTGCTTCATCAGACATTATCAAAGTATCCAGGAAGTGTCTAGTTCTTCTTAATGCGCGAATTTTCCTGCAGAATTTCAACCTTTTTTCAAAATCACCCTGGCATGTTCATGGATACTTGTTGGATTTTCCAATGCCCAAATGCGGCAATTATGTTTATTCGCCCTGCCATCAATGTGGAAACTTGCTTCATCAGACATTATCAAAGTATTCAGGAAGTGTCTCTAGTTCTTCTTAATGCGCGAATTTTCCTGCAGAACTTCAACCTTTTTTCAAAATCACCCTGGCATGTTCATGGATACTTCTTGGATTTTCCAATGCCCAAATGCGGCAATTATGTTTATTCGCCCTGCCATCAATGTGGAAACTTGCTTCATCAGACATTATCAAAGTATCCAGGAAGTGTCTAGTTCTTCTTAATGCGCGAATTTTCCTGCAGAACTTCAACCTTTTTTCAAAATCACCCTGACATGTTCATGTATGCTTCTTCGATTTTCCATTGCCCAAATGCGGCAATTATGTTCATTTATACCCTGCCATCAATGTAGAACCTTGCTTCATCAGACATTATCAAAGTACCCAGGAAGTGTCTAGTTCTTCTTAATGCGCGAATTTTCCTGCAGAACTTCAACCTTTTTTCAAAATCAGCTGGTTTGATTTCCTGTAGTATCTGAACTTTATATGCCTTCAGTCTTAATTCTTTAGACATAATATTGTGAACTGTACTTTGCGGAATACCTGTGATGGCAGAAATTTTTCGTGTAGATAAAGTGGGGTCTTCTTGTATGCGACCCAGGATTTCTATTGCATTGTTGACCCGATTCACATTGTTGGGGGTCCTTTTCTTACGATTAATAGATCCAGTGTTCAAAAAGTTAGCATGCCATGTTTTTATTGAATTTTTCACTGGAGGATCTTTATTGAATATAGTTCTGAATCTTCTTCTTGTAATTTGATAAGATTTGGTTTCGGCAAAAATTGCCACACACTTAGCTTTTTCAGTTAAAGTGAACATTTTTTCAACTCGAAGAAAGTACAAATGCTCGACAATCTTCATTTGACACATCTAATCTGGCATTTTATGTGTTGTGACCAGAATTTCCAAAGGCGACTTTGGTTACATTGCAAAATCTCATTAAACCATTCCACATGCAGTAGTTGTTTCAAACAGTTATAACTCTGATAGTTTTCAAAGAGAACATAACTTGTTATACATTGTTAGAAAGAAAAAAGACCAGTCTCTCCGAATGTGCAAAAATATATAGGGTGATTCGATGAAATAAAAAAGTTGCCCTATACCTGAATAATGGCTAGTTTGTTTCCGGTAGAACCGGAAGTTCAAGAGAGGAGGTGAACCTGTCAAAAAAAACTTGAAAAATATCAAAATAGACTAGTCCAAACTGCACAACGATAACTTGAATGGTTTCAGAGATATAAGCATTTGAAATGGGTCAGAATATAACTGGTCACTCGGTATTTTTTATTTTTCCAAAAATCTCGTTCATTTTTATCGAACTCTTATTTCTATAATATCTGGTATGTTACAATTATTGTACTTTTTCTAATAATGAAAACTAAGTTTCCCGTAAAATATATAGTCATATATAGTATATCTCGAATAGTCCTGTATGACTATTGCAGGCGATATCTCATGTTGTAATTTTTTCCTACGGCTACTACTGTAAGTGATGGATATTGTACACAAAACAATGGCAGTAAGCTACTCCTTACACACGTGTGCGTAAAGAGAGCGATCGCACGGTTTTCATAGGCATGTTGATAGATGACTTGTTTTGTTGCTTAGGCGATGTGTCAATAACAATTAACAATTTCATTAATGTCACTAGCTAGGTGGGTAGGTACTTATCTTTTTATCAATCAATCCAGCTATCCACCGAAACCGAAAGCATCAGGAAAGTTATATTTTCTGAAAATATGATTATTTTCTATTGATAATCCTCAATTTCCTCAAAAAAATTATTTCAAGCGATGACGATGAGCAGATTATTTCTACACCAACAGAAATAATGGAAAAAGCTAGAATGGAAAAAAGCTAGAAATGAAAAAACTACTCAACATTGAGTTGATGTATTCCTTTTCCTTTGAATAACAGGAATAATTAAAAAAGATCAATCTTCGAAATTATGAATAAAATATCTACTAATACGGAGAAATGGTGGTAGCTCAGTTGTTGGAAGCGCTGGCTCCGAACCAAAAGGTCGATGGTTCAGAGCGCAGTTGGAGAACTTTTTTTTTTTATTTTTAATAACGATTACAGAATCTCTCGTGCTGCACTGTTACAAATAAATATCCATTATGAATGTTGATTATATATTTTTATACAATGTGTTTTGCTCCCTATTAATGAAGCTGTTTAGATATGAAAAATGGCTTCATTTCATTTCGAATTGAGGAAAATGTCTCGGTATGCAATGTATCAATAAACAAACACAAGATTTGTGATTTGTAACTTTCCATGCAGCTGGCTTAGTGACGGGAGAAGTTTCATATTGGTATTCGTTATTTGTGCCTTAATACATCAATATCTGCACTATCCGGAAGAAAAATATAGTGTAGTCGTAGAAAAAGTATAGTACAATTCTCGAGTTGTAAAGCAATTACGCACTTGTGGAGTAACTCTCTCCACTTCGTGCGTAATATGCGTTTTACAACTCTTGTTATGTAATATACTATTTTTGTAGATTGGTTTAACCGAAAACAGAATCGAACTCAATCAACAAGTCACAACCAACATACTTGTAGGAAATATTTATTCACCTGTTTCGTTCGAAAATTTCGAATCCATAAATATCCAAGATACCCATGACGACATTTTTTCTTTCAGTTTCAGGTTGTAGTGAGCTGTTTATCCTTTTGACCAACCAAGTGAATAATCTGTCGTAAATCGCTTTAGCCAAGGCATCTCTTGCATATATGGATAGTTCCCTGTTCAGAGGGCTCGTCACCACATCGCGAATGGTCTCGATTGTTTTCTGCTTCAGCGCTAATTTGAGGTCTTCTGCGTTAACATTCAGGAGCTGAAAACATTATAAAAATGGTAGGTAGGCATCATTGGAATCCCATTATGATTAAACTACTCTAAAACTATTCATTTCCCACATAAAATGACCTAAATTTTTTACATCAGTTATGCATAAACCCAGCCAACACATCTGTGACATGAGTTTAGGTAACAGTGCGATATCACAAACGTTCCATTGCTGTGATGTTCATAACTAAACACATCTGCGACATGACATGTCTGAGATGTCGCGATGAGGCAACACTGTAATACCACGAATGTCCCATCGCTGCGGTGTACAGAACCCAACACATCTGCGACATGACATATCTGAGATGTCGCGATGGGGCAATACTGCGATATCACGAATGTTCCATCGCTGCGATGTACAGAAGGAGGCGGCCCGGTGGTCGAGAGCGCGAAGGCGCTGAGTTCGTATGGGGACTCCCACCGAGGCATGGGTTCGAATCCCAGTTAGGCCATTAATGTTCGTAAATGTATGCTTTCCTAACCCCGCACGAGTTTCGACTTATGGGGCGTTGGATCCAGTGCTGAGTCCAACGAGGAAATGCAATTGAAAAAAAAAACACATCTGCGACATGAAATCTCTGAGAAGTCGCGATGAGTCAAGAACTGCGATATTACGAATGTTCCATCGTTGCGATGTACAGAACCAAACACATCTGCGACATGACATCTCTGAGATTACGCGATGAGGCAATACTGCAATATCACGAATGTTCCATCGCTGCGACGTACAGAAGCAAACATCTGCGACATGACATCTCTGAGATTTCGCGATGAGGTAACACCCCAATCAGCCAAAGTACGTCTTAAAGGCATCTGTGAGACGTACATGACGTCTTAAAGACGTACATATTACGCCCAAGAGACGCCTTCAAGACGTCTTTAAAACGTAGATTTTCAACTAATATGTACGTCTTTAAGACGTCTTTTTTAGGTGTTTTTGGTCCATGACCTCAAATTGATCTTTCAAATTACGGAAAAATCACATAGTTTCAGTTGATTTTCACCTGTGCACTGAAGTTAGCAACAAGTGCAGACAAGCAAAAAAAAGGGAAATAAACGACTTCATCAAACGGTAGACACAAGCGGGCACCCATTCAAGTACTAACCGCGCTCTTTGTTGCTTGACTTCGATTATTATACCATATTCACTTCTTCTGTTACTCTGTTTGTTCTATATATCACATAACAAGCTTTTACTTAGTTTAACATGTCCTTGTGTCTGTTTGTAATCAAAACGTGCAAGTTAAATTTGACTCACTTTAAATCGTCCGATTGATTTGAAATTTGGCAAGTGAATATTATTCCGGTGACAATTCGTTGTGATATTATTATTGAATGGAAAAAACAGAATGGCGGATCCAATATGGCGGACGATTTTCTCATTGATATTATGTTCCGATTCGAATCAAAATTCAATATTCAAGATGGTGAATCCAATGTGGCATATATGGTTTTCTGATTATGGTCTGATCTGATTAAAAATTGGCATCTGAAGGATTTCGGGATCAGAGATTATAATTCCTTTTGTCGAAAATGAAAAATCCAAGATGTCGGCTTCAAAATGGCGGACGAGTTTTGTGATTATAGTCCGAATTTATTCAAAATTGATTACTATACTATGGGTCTTTTGGGGTCGGAGAATATGTTTTTTTTGTAAAAATTCGAGAATCTAACACGAAGGCTCCAAAATGTCGGACGAAAAAATTCAAAAACATCACTTTTGTCGAAAATAAGAAAAAACTGAACAATTGAAAATGAAAAACGTGAAGAGATGACATTTTGTTTTTCTTCAGAAAATAACTTACATTATTGTTCTATAAGTCGAATTCACGTACTGGAATGTACGTCTTTAAGACGTCTTTCATACGACATGGGAGGAACGACGTGGATACGACCTAAAATGTACGTCTTAAAGACGTAAATTCGTGTACGTCTTTAAGATGTACATGGATTTACATCTTAAAGACGTACTTTATACGTCCCTGGACGTAAAGACGTAAGTAAGTCGTAAAATGTACGTCTTTAAGATGTCTGGTGCTGATTGGGACTGAGATATCACGAATGTTCCATCGCTGCGATGTACATAGAAGCAAGCACATCTGCGACCAGACATCTCTGAGATGTTGCGATGAGGCAACAATGCGATATCACGAATGTTGCATCTTTGCGATGTACATCAGAAGCAAACTCATATGTGAGAATTTTTCAAAAATTTGTTATTTAGATTTTTGTTCGGTGAAAAAGAATACATGAATATACGTTACTCAACAAAGTGAAGCTAAATTCGTGAACATCCGTTAAATTGCTATCAAACTATTCTCGGTTTGCTTACATCTCGCCGACACACACTACACAATTTTTTATAGAAATACGAGTAACTGATCTCATTCTGATAGAGATTCGTAAATACCAAGGATAGCGCCACTGAAAAGACTATTGAATGGACAGAAGACCGGAGGGATCATAAACAAGTCACAACAACACATAATCATCAATATTAGATCACAGTCTAAGGAATCCTTAAACTGTGATTAGATGTCATCAGAAGTCAGTGGTGTACCTATTATTACTTCATGTTTGAAGAAATTTCTTTTTCGTTTTACTGCGATATCATAGCTCGCATTACATCGTATTTTCATCGCAAAAACACATCGCTTTTCCATCACAAATAACATGTCGCAATTACATTGCAAAAAAATATGTCGCTGTTATATCGCAGAGAACTTATCGCAGCGACGTCGTATGGATGAAACTTGAGTGGGACAAAACAACAGCCCTCTGACATCGCTGCGATATCTCTGTGATGTAACTGTGTTTCCAGGGAAGCTTTCCACAGCTTGAGGATCATATTAACATACCACAAAAATGTTCAACACCATGAAAAGTTGGGTGTTATGGTGGTTTAAATCCTACCTCACGAATGTTTGTGATATCGGAGTTTCTCAGGGGTCTGATGTTTTGGGACCAGCAATATTTCTATTTTATGTCAACGATATTTGCCGAATTCAATGACTAAAGGAGAAGTTACTGAGTTTTTTCGTCAGTGATGAAATAATGAGGAAAATTTTGGGCAGACATATTATGATGAGATGGAATAATGATGCTAGACAAACTCGTCAATCCGAATGTGATGCAATTTTAATGAACTTTCAATCAAGAGTATGCATATAACATAATATGCCCTTTCCAAATAATCTGTAATCGTCGAAACATATACGCCAAACTTCTTATTGGAATCTGGCATGTTTCAAATATATTTATTATTCTTATCAAACCAAAATGACACTTAACCGCATATTCATTTCAAATGTTAGATTGAATTCTACTCAGAATTATATACCTTTCTAACATAGCAGAATAAGGTGACCCTGAAAGCCGATTTTGAACTCTTATAGTCAGAAAGAAGTTAGAGACAATTGGACCAAGCGCGTAGCTTACTGCAATTTTTTCAGTTTGAGAGATATCATGGCCGCAGGAGGAGTAGCAAAGAGGGGGCGAGGGTTAAACGAACCAGAAAATCGAGTAATGATTTGAAACATTCCAAATGTAAGTATTAATAAAGAAATGAAGAGTACAGTCGTGAAAATATGCAGTTGTTCTCTTATCATTTTAAATGTCTTGCTTGGAATGAGACAGCAATAAGGGTTACTTTTGTTTCAATCAAATGAAAGTTACTTGTGTTTACCTCAGATCAAATAACAGTAGATAGACACCGCCATTCATTATTAAATAATTGAGTAATATATTGTTTAACGAGCACGAAATAATAGTCATTTTACACGAGAATGAAGTTTGCAGCATGAGCCGTAGGCTACTAATGTACTCACTACCAGACGCTGCAGTGGCAGGCCTACTAGCTACCTCATAAGCCCTGGTTTGAGGCAGCATTGGCCCGTTACCTTGTTAACCCCCGTTAGAGGATGCCCACCAAGCAGCATTGGCTCGCTCTCACACCCACCTACATACACCATCCTAACTTGTTCTCTGATGTTCACAACCACATTATCATCATTTCTTCCTATATGTTCTGTGCGGGCTTTGTTACTAACTCCATGCCCCACTTTGGGAGCAGCACTGTTGGTCAACAGTGAATCGTACAAGACTATCCCCAGCCGATGCTCCGAAACGTCACAATATTTCATTCGTGAAGTAAATATTCAAAAAAGTTTCTTGCTCTGGCTGGGAATCGAACCCACGATCTCTCGGTCGTGAGTCGTATTGAAGCGTTACCACCGATACAACAAGGCCTGCATGCTCCGTGGGTGACGTCACTTAGTGAGGCCTAACCAGCGGCTCGAAACGACAAGCGCTTATAGCGCTATAAGGCGACCGCGTATTCCGATTTTAGTTTTAGATCATCATTGAGCCGATTTTGCTGTTTTTTGAAGGGCTTCCGGTTAAAAAAGGATGCCAGTCGTCAACTGAGCCCTTCTTCGCACCCCATTCGATTTCATTATGGAAAAACGAAGTTAAAAGCAAAAACCAGGATAAAACACAAATATCCACCTACAGCAACCCATTCGAATTAAATATATTGGCAAAAATTGTGGTGAAGGTAAACTTCACACCTACTTATACAGGGCCCGCAGAACATAAACTTATCGTGAGATTGATCGAAAGAAAATTGTGGAAAATGTATTTTATTTTGATTGACATGCCGTTTGTTACAATTACCTATATTTATCTTGGAGAATTCCTATTACCTGAAAAAATAACCAGTGAGTGTTTTCAATTTTCTGTTGTTGAATTGTTCACCCATGTGGATCGTTACACTTGAAACCGTAATTTTTGAGGGTAAAACTGCATTTATCATGCGATTGTTATTTTTTTGAAAATTTTTTTTGGTACTCACGTATTTTTGTCTGATATACAGAATTTTATAATGAAAATGTGAACAAACCACTATTTATTGAGATATTTCAAGAAAAAGTTCGAAATTTCGCCTTCTTTCTCCCCTTGTGTTGGGGGCATTTGAAGCTACTTGCTCTTATTTTGTCATTGGACACTTTATATACTCATGATGTACTTCGATGGCACATTTTTATATAGAAAATTCGAAAGGAAATATGATTTTTATGTCGAGTTTTTCATATTTAGTGAACAAGCATTCCAGATGACGACCATCAATAGTCAATCAAAATACGAGATGTCAAATGTCAATAGATTGCTTTCGAATGACATTACAGACGCCATTATTTTGAATGATATTCTTCCTTCTTTTCACTAAATATGGATTAATCTCAAGAAAATCATATTTATAGTTGAATAAATTGTCCAATATGATGAAAAAAGAAGGGACATTTGTTCTAAATGCCATCCAGAAGACAGGTGAAAAAGAAGGTGGAATTTCGAACTTTTTAGTCAAATATCTTCATGATAAATATCATGATAAATGCAGTTTTACCTTTTTAAGTAGAGTGTTAATTTGTAGTTCATGTTAATATGATAGTTGCAATTTGATCATTGGAATGAATTCTGCATTCATTGCCACGAGGCAAATGACCGTTTTCAGAAAGAAATTTGAGAATGAGAATTAAAAATGCCCGTTTATTATGAACATTCAAGAAGATATCCTCGAATTCAGAGATGATTTTGTTGACTATAATATACGAATACAAAACTAACTGCACAATCAAAGCTTTTCTATTTTTCCTCTACTTATACTTTTTATGAGAGAGTAATTGTCTTCTATTATTAATTCATCATAATAAATTAAGCTCTGTTTACTACTGAACTTAGATGGAGTAAAATCCTCGCGATGAATTGCATATACCCACATTTTCGATAGCTCCTCGTCCAACGGGAAACTAAAAGCATGAACCTTTGAACCACCCACATCATTCCCCCGACAAAAGGGAACACAACACTTGAAAGGCATTGTTATTTCACCGATCACAACACAAAATATTTCACAAAACAGTAATTTTTCCGCCAATTATTTTGATGAATAAACAACAAAAGAATTCGGGACCGTTTCAAAAACATACGTGAATCACCGATGAATTGACACGAACTGACGCGTTAGTCGACAAGCGATAAAATAAAACACTGGCCTCTCTTGGTGACGTCACGAGCTGTTTACGTCAGAGTCTGCTGGCCTTGTTGTATCGGTGGTAACGATCAAAGTCTCTTAATTGTATACACATATTAAATTACAACACAAAATTACAATTCACATTCAGAAAAGCAGGACATCTTGTTATGGCTCAGACCTCTGTGATGAGTCCTCCGCGTGGTGCAGAGGTGGCTGGTGTTGGCCAGGGAATGTGAGTGCATTTGTGAAGTGTTAGACTCAGAGGCCTATCTCCTGGGACCAAGCCCTTTATATAGGTGATCTCACTGAGGTTACCCAAGAGGGTGGGGGAGCTGATCGATCGCTAGCAGTGGTGGGTGGTTCGAAGGGGATGGAGGAAAATAAAATTTCAAACGTCACTGTGAGTGGGATCTGACACTATTCATTTTCATGCGTTTAGAAATTGTGCAGTCTAGATCTTCTCCGGAGCCACGCTTTTACTGCGATGCTCCGGGGAAATTCCCAACTATATATTCCCAGGATCTACAAAAACATCAGTTGAAGCATATATCAGCCCGTGTTTTTTATGTATGTTGTGGTGTTGTCTGGTTTGTGTTATATTCCGGGTAAGGTCACTTTCAGCGATGTGGTATTTGTAAAACTTGTTGGTCTTGTATTTTCCGCAGAAGGAATAGGCAAAATATATCCATCTCTCTAACTAGTTAATCTGAGATGTTTACAAAACATCGTAAAATTTTTATTTCTTATAATTCGAAATGAATTAGTTTTTCCATTGGAACAGATGTATACTGAGACACCCCGGCATAATCATTCTCCAGCAAGTGTTTGAAATTTTGAAATATGATACTTGTTCTAGATATAATTCTGATTCGCAATATCCCTCGCAATATACTAACCTTGGCAACGATATCGACGATATCAGGTTTAAGGATAGTTGAAACTCCTTCTTCTTCAGAAAACCCAACATTACCCAAATGCAATATGGCAGAAATTATAGAAAACATATCAGATTGTTCTCTTTCGGTAAATTCCAACGTTGACATAGCTTTCCTCACTTCTCCGAAGTCTTTTCGGTCTTCAATGACTGCCACATTGCTCTTATCCTGAAATAAATAATCGCATATTGTTGTGGAATAGCATATTATACAACTTACAGTGTGATCCACTTGGGATCGGACCACCCTTATGAAATCCATGATCTGAGGTTTTATACTAGAGTGAATCAAAAAGAAAAGTTAGTACAAATTCGCAAAAATATCTTGAGGGCACACTATATACTCTTCGTTAAATATATATACCTATACAGGGTGGTCCAGATTGTACCTATATTATAATTTTGAGAAGTGAGAGAGATTCGCAAAATAATGAGACTTTGTTTGATATATACTTCCAAAAATGAATCGTAACATAATAAGATCATTTTCAAGTCTGGCATACTCTGCTTCTCTCAAGTACAGTTACTTCCAGGTCTCCATAGGCGCAAAACAGGAGTTATACCTGGTATCCCTGGAAGGTCTGTAGAAACTAATACCATAGACTCCTGAGAGTGAAATGATCAAACCAAACTTATCCCTATACCAAAAAGATTTGTTTAGCCGCTACAGGGCGTCGGATTTGAATATTTTTTTTATTGTTCAATATTGTCTATAAATATATTTTCGAAATTCTGTAGGAACACTAAAAGGACTATTATGTATCAAGAAGATTCCATAACATTCTGATTATTAACACACAGGATGTTACATATTTGGAGTTCGGTTGTTCCACATTTAATACCTTAATTTCAGTTTTTTTGTAAGTTCGTGATATTTCTATTGGTTTGCAAGTTAATTGACCAAATCCAATTTGATGCATACCTGATACTCTTCAGAATTATGCTATCGTCATCTAGTGGCGTTAGTTCTGAGGTAAGACTTTGCGGCCACATCACACACTGAGTGCTACTACAAGTAAAACACTCTTCTGACAGATGGTAAGTAAGAGATCTAGGATCTAGCTCCTGCTGACAATGGGGGTGTACACCTTAGTAGAACTTTTAACTCAAACCATGTTTATAATGATCCTTTTATACATAAATAATGATTGACGACATAATTCGATTGAAAAATTAACTGGAATGTTTTATTTTTGGCCATAAATAATAGTACCTTCTGAAAACGGACCCTCTCATGACGTAGAAACCTCATCTCGCCATACTTAAAAGAAAATACCAAACGCCCGACGGAGACTGAGGCAACTGATAAATATTCTTTCAACTGTGATCGCGCGCTGATTCACTCTGTCAGAAATCATGTATCATTCATATCTGTCTGGAATAGTCTTGTTTCAGTATTAGGGTTTTGACGTCACATCATCGCCTCGTTTTTAGAGGTCTGAGAAATCGGGGATTTCAATAATTTTTTATGAAACGTATGGAGCTCACAGCAAGAAACGGTTTGCGGTGGTGAGATAGTTTGGGTGAGTTCTATCGAATTATGAAATGAAAATTTTTTGTGATATAAGACCATTGGGGCAACTTTGTTCAAGAACACATCTATACTAGCAATGGGGCAAATTTTTTTGAAATACTGGGACTGTTGTCTTGCGAAAAACCCTAGGGTTCTGTGACATGCATAGGTATTTGGGTCTGGATTCGAAAGAGATGAAAACGCGTTTTATTGATGATATTGATGAAGTTATGCTTATTTTTGTGACTAATTTCAATAGATGCAAAATACAAATTACACATTCTCAACGTCACTTTTTCTGTCCTACAAGATGGTGTTGTCCAGATTCTCAAAACGACGTTTCGTCTTTGAGCTCCCATCATCAACCCAGGCCTTAGACTTTTCATTATGGACCACAAGAGCATTTGATCTCCAAAAACCAATGGTGTCTTCCACTTATTCGAAAAATGAATATTAATGGCATTTTCCATAAGAGTCCATGAGTTAGAGAGAGACACAGGGTGTTGAATATATCCAGGAACTATCTAAAGGATTCTATTCAACGGTATTTATGAATCTTTCGTGATTCCAAAGACAAAAATGACTGTTCAAACTTTTTGATTTTATGTGGCAAGTTCAATCATAATACATTTTTTCGCCTACCATATATGATAATGAATCATATCAGCCCTAAAAATTTGACCGAAAGTAATCATCCCTTGGGCTGCTAAAATGTTGGCACGATTTTGTAGTTTTTCATTATACGTCAGTGTGAATCGAAGTTTGGAATCAAGAGAACAATTATGTTTCTGGTAGGCGAAAAACAGTTGTGTGTCACACACGCAGCATAGATTAACTAGGGAGAGTCGTTAATCACCATTTTTTTCCTTCACCAGCTTTGAAAACTCCAGATATATTTTCAGTGTTTGCACTTTCTATAAGAAAATGTATTGGAGTTAATGCTCCCATTTCCCCACTATTTGCATCACAAGGAACGTGACTTATTGGTCGGGTATTGACTGTTCTCTCAGCCTCTAATAACAATGTCATCAGCAGTTCGCAGTTCTTCTGCAGGATATTGTTCTTTCAATGCATTGTATAGTACATTTTTTACTGAGCGAATTAACCTTTCCCAAGCACCTTCTCTATTTAGAGCCAATGGTGCATTGACAATCCGGCTACCATATTAGTCTGATTCATTTCCGTAAGACTATTCCTCATCTCTTTTTCTGCACCAACGAAATTAATACCATTGTCAGAATGTAGTTCAAGCGGTTGACCTCGTCTACTGATAAATCTATTGCCATTAAGCTGAAACCGTATTCAGAGTTCTAGCAGTTTCTATGTGTACTGTACGAGTGCTGGAATAACACCATATCGTTTTTGTCTACCTCCCTTGGGAAGGAGTAAATAATGGTAGGTTCTATAGCTAGTGGTGGAAAATAGTGAATTATAAACCCAGGGACTAAGTGAATCTTTTCATCCCTAAGCGGAAAGTTTGTAGCACGATCGGAGAGAGGGTTACAAATCGCTGAGGGATTGAAAAAAACTTTAGCCATGTGTTGTTGACATCGAAAATTGATATGCCTTAAAAGCGTTGCTATGGTGTTTGAGAAAATATGCCAGCATTTACTTGTAACTAAGGTGGCTATGTAACTAATAGCGAATTCAATTGGTAAAACTGGCTCGAACTGAGTGCATATTTTGTATTCCATTGGTAAAACTAGTGTCGAGTTTTGAATTCCATTGAAAAACTGCTTCACGTAGTTTAGAGCTCAGTGCAACAATTCTTCCACGAGCTCTAATAGGTCGTGCGAAGTCAGTGCAGTTTCGAAAATGGCGGAAACATTGAATATGAATAGTTTGAGAACCAAATTGTTAGTGGCAATTTAAAGGAGATTACTTCCCTGAATTCATAATTTTGTTGGAAGTATTTTGCAAATTCAATGATGAAGAGGTACTTATCAAAAAAAGTACTAAAACTGATTTCCATGAAACATTTACTTCGTTCTTAATTGAAGTTAAGAAAGAATTCCAGGATGCGGACAAGTTATAAACAAACACAAGCCAACTTATCCGATTCATTAAACTCCAACTATAATTTTATTATAATATCATTTCATATTCCATTAGGGATGCACCATAAAAGTACCACTTAAGTCCATCGAATGAAAATTTCAAAAGTACCTTTATGACCTGAAGTGCATTTTATTATTGCCAGTGTAGTAAAACAATAGTTATTTTTGTATCTAGAGCGCGAAATGCTACTTTGGTGATCGAGATCTGATTCTTTTTACGAGGCGTAGCCGAGTTAAAAAAATAGTCGAGATGACCAAAGTATTTCGCGCTCGAGTTGCAAACAACATTTTTCCTACAAACGTCAGAAAATATAGATCTTAAGTGCGTTTAGCTTGATATAGAAAATAGTGTTGAACTGGCTTAAAAGGCCTCTCACTATCCTCCCTAGGTACGCACTATGTTCCACGAACATAATAGGGATTTTCTTTCGTGCGATCCAAGAGATAAAACAAAGTTATTGTTCGACAATCAGAAATGAATGGTTTCGTGAATGTTTGCTCGATTGAGGACAATGAAGTTGAAATATAAATATTTCATATTTTACATAACAATGCGCGAAGTACGTACTTCGCGCACTGTTTTACTTCGCGCATTGTTTTGTGCAAGGTATCATGGTAACGTAGGAAACTGAAAAACAGTGTCACTTCGCAATTTGTTATCGATGCGCGAACTTTGTCATTTTTTGACGTTTGTAAATAGTTATTTTTGTATCTAGAGCGCAAAATGGTACTTTGGTGATCGAGATCTGATTTTTGGAAAGGTGAAAATAGTCGAGATGACCAAAGTATTTCGCGCTCGAGTTGCAAACAACATTTTTTCTACAAACGTCAAAAAATATAGTTCTGAAGTAAAAATATGCTGAGCTTGATATAAAAAATAGTGTTGCACTGTCTCAAAAGGCTTCCCCCGATCCTCCCTAGGTACGCACGATGTTCCACGATCATAATAGGAATTTCGATTCGTGCGCTCGAAGGACCATAAAATTGAAATATAAATATTTCATATATTTTACATAACAATGCGCGAAGAAGGTACTTCGCGCACTGTTTTACTTCGCGCATTGTGTTGTGCAAGGTATCATGGTAACGTAGGAAACTGAAAAAAAGCGTCACTTCGCAATTTGTTTTCAATGCGCGAACCTTGTCATTTTTTGACGTTTGTAGAAAAAAAAAATATTTTTCAGGTCAGAAATATCATACACATAGATTAAACAATAATCTTTGACACACATGAAGGTGTCTTTTAGGGCTATATAATAGTGGAAAGAAATATTAACTCACCCCGTTTGACAAGTAGTAGTAGGAAGACATGTTTCTCTTCAAGTTCAGTTCGTCCATCAACGCGTCGTCAGCCCCAGTTAGTAATTGATAGAAAATGTGGAAATTTCTTTCACCAGGTACTTGACTTATCACTCTGGATTTCTCCAATAAATAATTCAAAATATTACCCCCTACTGGGTTGCCTTCGAAGTTGAATTGTATGTCCATATACTTTCCGAAACGACTTGAGTTGTCATTTCGATTCGTTTTCGCGTTTCCGAATGCTTCCAAGATTGGGTTGGAAAATAAAAGTTTATCTTTGACTTTTTCAACGTCTCCCCTGTGGTCTGTTACTTCTGCTATGTAATGGAGAACTTTTTTGGAGGCTTCGGTTTTTCCAGAACCCGATTCTCCTAGAAAAACGAATCGTCAGATCTGGCAATTTCCATTTATTTACAGAGTGACTCAATTGAAAGCGGGCCGCTCTTATAACTTTTTTATCTATGGAGCGAATTTCACGATTTTTATTTCAAATGTAGAGGGAGCAAGGTGTAGTTTGGAAGCAACTTCATTTTTTAAAACCAAGGCCTACTAGATCACCTTCAGAGGCTGAAAAATTCAGAATCCATAATGCCAATGGCAGAAAAAGGGTTTGAGTATGAAATTTGGATTGGGTACTCATTTACTACAAAAAAGTACCCTTGATTATTTTTTTTACATGTCAAAATGTGACGTTTTCCTTGTTTCAACCAATATCAATGCGTGATTCTAGCCAATCATTCGGAATCATACTGATAATTTGTTAGTATCAAATTACCGCGATGACTTATTCACGTTTGGATCTTCCTTCAAATGGATACAAAAAGGGACCCATAGACTGCGATGTTGATAGGCTGTTTTGTTCGACTAACAAGTCTGTTCGAACAAAAATTGCGCACAACCGAAGTGTGTGGCTGTAAAATGTTCGTTTTCGCTGGCCACACACTTTAGTTTTGTGTCTTTTTTGTTCGAACAGACTTGTTCGACGAACAAAACGGCCTACCAACAACGCAGTCTATGGGGCACCTTTAGAGAATTAGCATTGACTTGACTTGGTTGTCAAGGTAACGCAGCTATTTGTCTCAATGTAAACATTTCGAATTCAGAACCGACGCCATTGTTAAGTATCAGTCAGACTTCGTATTTTGTGATTTTCTCTAACGTTTAAACGAGTTGGTATAGGTTCGGAAAAACTTTACAATTATTATTAGTCATTAACAGAAACCGACATGAGCACGAGATTTGGTCAAAGCTCGGCTGATTCAATACATTTAGCTGTCGAACAAGCAACACCAATCAACACCACAAAAAGCAAGAATACGATATGGAAACAGTTTTTGGAGTTCTGCCTTGAACGTAATTATGAGTTGACTGCAACAACCGAGATGAAACAAATCGCATCAATTATGGAGGACTGGGCATATAACATGCGAAAAAAAAATGGAGAAAACTACAAAGAATCTGTTGTCAAAACTTTGTGGAATGTCACCGCAAAACTTATCCAGGAAAAATATTTCAGGGAGTATAATAGAAACATTGATCCGTTCACTGATATTGAATTTAAGACCGCGCGAGATGCGCGGAATTGCAAACGTCGAGAACTTCAACATATTCCTGAAAAAAGAAAAGCATCTTCTGTTGCTCTCAAGAAAGAAGAAATAGAAAAAATGATAGCAGCATGGGACGAAAATACTCCAAATGGCTTACAAAGGAAGTTTTATCATACTGCTAGCTACGAATTGGCTTGGAGAGGCGGAGAAGCGACAAAAGCATTAGTACAGTATTTTAGAGAAGAAATGGATCATTATGGAAATCAAACTGGAAGGATAGAATATAATCCAATAATTTCTAAAACAGCACAAGGAGGATCGCACAGGTTATCTGATAGCAAATTTTTAACGCCAAATGAAAATGAGACTGAAAAATGTCCAGTACGTCTCTTTCGGAAGTTAATGTCGAAAAGAAGTGCAAATATTCAAATTGATCGTTTATTTTTAACACCTAATCCAAATTGGCAGCAACCTTTGTCTAAGGGGTGGTACAAAAATCTTCCGGTAGGACAAAATGAAATAGCAAAATGGACAAAACAAGCGGCCCGAAAGATTGGCTTGGATCCTAGCAAAATCAAGGTTACAAACCATTCACATCGTTCTTCTGCTGTGACACAACTCGCTAAAAGTGGAGTAAGTGAGCAGCAGTTGTTGAAGATAACTGGACATTCATCTGCAAGCTCCATCAAACCCTATCTTCAACTTGACAAAGAGCATCACGCAAGCATGATAAACAACTTGAGAGGAAACACTGTTTCGACCTCTTCATCTCAAGGAAATTGTACAATAACATACAATAATTGCACCATTACAAACGTAAATTGTAAACATTCTTGATTGTTTGATATATAATTATTTGATATATAATTGTTTGATATATAATTGTTTGATATATAATTGTTTGATATATAATTGTATGATAAATGATTGTTCAATAAATAATTGTTTAATAAACATATTCTGGGGCATTTTGCGAAATAGTAAAAAAAATAATCACGCCGAATTACATTCGTGTTGGTTATTTTTTTAAATAATTTTAACTAGATTTAGCACTCGTCTTTGTTGCTATTGAGAAATCCCACTCGTGGACTTCGTCCACTCGTGAAATTTCTATAGCAACAAAGATTCGTGCATCTAGTTAAAATTATCAAAAAATTACCACCACTTGTGTAATTACTGTTGATAATTCTCGATTTACTCTCATGGTTCTGACAAAGTTTGTATTTTACTAATTGTTTATGTTCTAAAATTACTGAAATGCAAATTTCGTCAAAACCATGAGAGCAATCGAGTCTTATACCGAGTACCTTTTTTAAAGTTGATGAGTTGCGCAATCTAAATTTCATACTCAAACTCCTTTTCTTCCAATGGCGTAGAATTTTTAAAGGTGCAATTATTTAAAAAATCGGACATAATTTTGACACCACATGAAACTCTATCTATATTCCAAATTCCAGCAAAATCGCATATGCCGTTTCAGATTTATATAGGAAAAACGATTTAAAAATTGTAACTTCAAGGCCCTCTGGAGGCCAAACGATGCAACTTTGTACTGAGGTAATTTTACTTAAATCGACTTATTTTGATCTGAGAAATATGTGGTATGTTTTTGTAAAGACCTTTTACAGACACCCTGTATAATTGTTTCAATACAATTTTAATTGAGTCGGTTTCCCACCTCTTCCTGCAGTCTACATTCACCTGTAAATTTTGAATTTGATCTGAATTAAAAACACCGTGGACTGATGACATAGCACATTGCAATTTCTCTAAATCTTCTAGTTTTGATTTCAAACCAATTTCTTTCCGCATCATCTCGTTCTCATTTTCTTTCTCTGCGAAGTCCCAATACGATGACGACGGAACTCATCTTTTGAACGTCTCTATTTAATAAATTGACGGCACAGCAGATTCTTCCAATTTGAAATCCATCAGCTTGAAAGAATCTATCAAAATGGGCCTAAAATTCATCTTTCATCTGTTTTTATGAGTGAATTTGAATATATACCCCACATATTGCGAATTTCTTGAAATTAATTTCCCATTCTGGAAGTTTCATTGCATTCTTCCATGACATTATCTACAAAGGCTCGTTCGGAAAATTGAATAACTTGAATCCCTTTTCTAATGAATTATCGCAATAATGTACGCAGCAGGACATTAGGATAATTTTAAATGCTAAATTTTGGTGGTCATAAAATTTCAAAGTGACAGAAATTCGAAATAATTAAAAAAAGCGGGCGGGACGACTATGGTGTTTCGTCACATTGTCAGGTAGGCAAATGAAACAAAATATTAAAAACCCCAACGGCTGTCAGTTTTGTCTCCGGACTCTTGTCTAAGGTATATACAGGGACTCTAGTATGAATAACCATCATTATGACCAGTTTTTCAGACACGTAAATCCTTTTGGACAGTGCCGTGCGTTCTTATTAAAATGAGAAGGGGACAATTTTTTATGAAATCATTCAATTTTTTTTACAGGAGAACTGATTTCTAAATATGGTTCTTCATGATTTCAAACCCCCATAATTATACTGTCTGTAGGTTAATCGAGGGGGTGATACATTAATTTTACTTGATTTTTTGGGATTTTCTATAAAAATATGCGTATTATTTCAATATATTTGTAGCGGGACAAATCAGATGATTTGCTCCAAAATGTCACTGCGTTCAATACATTTTTCTATCAGGGAGCCTAAAAGAAAAATCCAGTAGCTTGTCAGTGACACTTTGTTTGAAAAAATGTTTGAAGGAAAGAAATAGATATATTGAAGAAATATCGAATTTTCACTTATCTTTGGACGTTTCGGGAAAGAATCTGCTCCCGTTCTCAACATGAAAATGCAAAATATTTCTCTTTGGAAGTTTTGCTCTCTGATTATAGTTTGACACTTCTCATTGTCATACTGATGTTGGCATATGAATGAGTTATTTTAGTCTACAAATGAAAACATCCTGTAACTCATTCTGACGCATTCAGATTCGCATTACAATTTTCGCCTGCTATATTCGCCCTGAAATTCAGGAACTTCACAAACGATAAGATTTCCACAAAATTCTTAAACACACAACATGTTTCGCTAACACAGTAGCTTCGTCAGGTGATATACTGGTACAATGAACTAAACTAACCTTGGCTTGCCTAACTTCTATATATCCTACTTTCCCAACTTGAAGGATTAGTTACCTGTGGACAGGTTCAAATATACGAATGAAATATAATAGGGTGTTCCATTCGGAAAAAATCACTTTCCTACGAGCGTGCGCAAAGTGGTACTTTTCAGCACTCATTTGCGTACGCAACGTAATACTTTTCCGCTTTCAGTGCGGATATGGGTGTAATCAGCACGGCGTGCGGATAAGTAAAACTACCCAAAAATCTCACTGGTATGGAACATTTATATTCATTTTAGTTGCTGTAGACTATTGTAATTATTGTATGCACTGTAAGAAGCCGTTATCCCTTTTACTTTTCAACCGTTCTTCCCGATATTTGTATTTCAACTCAATATAAATATTAGGAACAAATGATTCAATTTTTTATCATTATATTTTATTGATATGTAATTGTTTGTTGTTTAGCTATTTCTATCAAGTTTAACTAAAAATTATTCAATAAATTGTAATTTAAGTTGAAATTTTTTTATTTTCGTTGTTATCTGATATGAAGCTCGTAGGGAAAATGTGATTTTCTATTATTATATTTTATTGTTATATGTGATTGACATTTTTCAATAAGTTATAATTTTTTTTATTTTCCTTTTTATCTGATATGAAGCTCGTAGGAAAAACGTTGTTCCTAACACGTGCACAAACTGTCTTTTCCGCACGCAAAAACTTATTCGAACTCCGCTCCGCGTCGTTCGCCTAACTGTATTTGCTTGCGGAAAAGTAACACTTTGCGCACTTGTTAGGAAAATAACTATTTCATACCCCCCTTATAATATGGACACACGAAGAACATCTAATCCAAGGAATTGGCTCGAAGTTTTCGAAATATCGAGTGTTGGAAGCGTGAAATCTCTGAAGTAAATGACCCTGTACGATACAGAAAACATTGAATGATGTTGGTATAATGTTCTGACTCTCCAGGGCTTACATGCACGACAAATAATATAGAAATATATCTACGAGATTCTTGTCTTTTTTGGAGTACAGCTAATCGTGTTGTTTTTTCAGAGCGTTCACCTCATTTTCAGGAAAAAATAACAGTGGCTAGCCATCAAAACTTGTCACAATACTTTTTCAAATGTCCTGCCATTATCGGTATGTTCATAATAATCAAGCTATTAAATCGTCGCGCATGCATAAGGTTAAGTAAGATGTATATAAAGTTAGTAGTAAATCACTGTTTTTGACGATTCAACAATGTGAACAGCAATGAACATCATTTTTCATAAAAAACATTATACAATATACAGTTATACAGAAACAATTCATGAAAAAATGTGTATATGCCATAAATGTTAATAACAGGTGGGAAACGAATTCTTCCCCTATACATTGTTTTCTCATTCATTTCTGATCTTATGTCGATGAAATCAATTGAGTGCTAAAAACACTTTATTAAAGAAAAATATGACAATATGTCAGAAGCGTACCAAACAAAAAATGCCTCGGAAGTTACACTAACTTTTATTTTCACATGTGTACAGTGTGTCCAGTTTTCGATGCTTTTGTGGGATATCTCAGTTATCTTTGGAGATAGAACCTCGCGGGTTTCGCGGTCGTGTGTCACTTTTTTGTGAAACTCAAGATGGCCTAATCAGATTTTACATAACTGTTTCCGTTTATGAGATACAGGGCGATTTTGAAAATTTATACTTTTTGGACCCCCTCTATATCTACGAAGTTTCTCAGCAAAAATGTCAAATTAAAATCTCATCCCATAAAAAAAGTTCACGCAGAATCCAGTGGCGCACCCAAATTTTTTTTTCGGGGTATGGTTTTGGAGATACGACTCAAACTTATGATTTTTCAAATGGAACACCCTGTATTTTATAAGCTCATAAAATTCCTCATTTTTTTTCTCTTCAAAATGATTTATAATGTATGTATATGAAATTTTCAAAAATGCTCTGAAATCACTGAAACATTGAATATTAATAGTGGGCTATGGATTTTTCTTATGAAAAAGTTCCAATTGAAGGAATACCCATTCATTTTGATTTTTCTTTAAAGAGGACAAAAACAATACCAACACTAATTAACTAAGAAAACTCAAAAATTATGTACCTGATAGCAACAAATAAATAGTAATAAAAAGTTCATAATGTAGAATAAGCACCAGATCAAATATTTACAAATACAATTGAATTTCGGAATTATTCAATAACTTATTCACTGAATTGTTCAAATTGATGTCCATTTCTCATAACACACAATTGACACAGTTTCTCAATACGTCTTGATACAGTAAGAGTCACAAATATCTTGAAGAACTTCGTGCAACAACAGAGGCAGTTTTCCAGGAATTACAAAGACATCCTTTAATGATTTTGAATGCATTAAGACGTATTGAGAAAGCGTGTGAGGAAAGGTGGACATCAATTTGAACAATTCAATGAATAAGTTACTATTCAATTGTCTTAGTGAATATAAAATCAGGTGCTTATTCTAGAATATGAACTTTTTATTACCCTTCATTTGTTGTTATCAGGTTCCTAATTTTTGTGTTATCTTAATTAACTAGTGTTGGGATTGTTTTTGTCCTTTTCATGGAAGAATCAAATGAAATATCCCTTCAATTGGAACTTTTTTTAAATGAAAAATCCATAGCCCATAATTAAAATTCAATGTTTTAGTGATTTTGGAGCATTTTTGAAAATTGTATACCTATTCATCATATTTCATTTTGATGGGGAAAAAATGAGGAATTTAATGAGCTTATAAAACACAGGGTGTTCCATTTAAAAAATCATAAGTTTGAATCGTATCTCCGAAACCATACCCAGAAAAAAAAATTGAGTGTGCCACTGAATTTTGCGCAAAATTTTGTATGAGATAAGATTCCAATTTGACATTTTCGCTGAGAAACTTCGTAGATATAGAGGGGGTCCAAAAGTATAAATTTTCAAAATCGCCCTGTATCTCATAAACGCAAACAGTTATGCAAAATCTGATTAGGCCATCTTGAGTTTCACAGAAAAGTGGTACAGGACCGCGAAAACCGCAAGGTTCTATTGAGAACAGCCAGCTGTAATCTGGGTGACACCATCAAGATCACCTATCTGAACCTTATATTGGGAGTCTGATGGTAAGTCGTCTAGTGACTATGAATATCGCATTCGTTTGGTTTTATTTTTGAGATTACAGATATTTTCCATTTAAATTTGAATAAAATTCAATCCATTCATTTCTCCATTTTTTTTAGCTAAAGAGAGTTCACAGCCTATGGATGTGAACAAGTAGGCCTTGGTTCTTTCGACGCTGCTTAGCTCCAAACTACACCGCCTTGTCCCCATCTACATTAAAAAAATTGTGGAAATTGCTCCATAGATAAAAAAGTTATCAGGGTGGCCCGCTTTCAAATGGGACACTTTGTATATCGAAGAGGACATAAATAATAAACAGTGGATAACAATCATTCATGATTCTCTGCCATTTTATATTCATACTACAATCTATTCAATTTAATCACAAGTTGTAAACACCTTGTTTTCAAATGTTTACCACAGGAATAATGAGAATTGAATTTCAAAACAATGGAAATGTTGATCTACTTCATACTTATCTCGAATATGTGAAGACATTCAAGAGATATATATATTTGAGTTCCTCCTAAGATTAGGTATCATGAAAGAATCCGGTTTTGAAATTTTGAAAATTTTGAAATTCGGATGTTGGCACAGTTACACATGACGAATCCACCGGTGTCACTGTTTTTTTTTTCAGCTCCAGGTACTGTACAGATTGTTGAATGTACATAAACATACGTTTGGAAACGTATATTTTTGATGATTCCTTCCTAACCTACCAAATTCCATCGAAATTGCGTTAGACGATGTTCGCGATATTCACACAAAAAATGAATTGAAAAAAAGTTTGACCATGTATCTTCAAGACTATGCATTTTTTGACTTATGTTTGTGTGAAGTTTTCGTCTTAGAACTACTTAAAAAAATCACCATTTGAAATTTGTCTGGATAATAATATAGAATGTATTTTTTACCTGATATTAATATACATTGTTCTCTGTTTTCTTCTCTGAGCGATCTATAGGCGGTATCAGTAACGGCAAATCTGAAAAAAATATATTTCAATGTAGATTTTGAAAATGGAATGAATTCATTGCTTTCGCGCAAACAAAAAAAACTAAAAAATCTTGACAGGCCATTTTAATTTTTATAGCTCAACCTAAATGAAGGTGTTTAGGACACAAGTGCCGCTAAGATTTTCAAAAACTCTAACCATCCGAAAACCACTAAAATTTGTATGCTTTTTGAAATTTGTATACTGCTACTTCGAAGCTTGACACCAACTTTCGAATGGTCGAAATTTGTGAAGGTTTAGGAATAGCGTTGCCTACAATTTATATTGGAATCCCGAGTGGAATCCCAACCTCTTCCATACTCCAGGCAATAGAGAGTATTACCTGGAAAAAATAGTAGGATTCAGTGAGCCTTCTATCTGTTTTATGGGTCGCTGAATCCAAATCTTTCACTTCCAAGCAACATTTCCCACCAGAAATACAGGACGTTTTGAAAAACTGGCTCCAAAACACAGGATCAAGAAAATTGTTTTGTTAAAAAATACATTGTTTTATTAGGATCAAATGTGACACCTTGTCACAATGAAACATGGGATTTTTTCTGCAATCGCACTAATTGATATCTAATTAATAAATTATATGCAAAGTTATCACTATTTTGACTCAGTTGAGCATGTTAGTGTCAAAGCATCTATAATATCAGCTGTCATCCGACACGTTTTCAGTTGGTGTATAAATACCTATTTTCGTCGTAAATACATTTCTCCTGCAATGAAGAAAATTTGTTTTGCGAATTAATCATTCATCGGGAATGGGAATCTACTAACAGTCACGCAGTAGTCATGGAAGTCAACTAGTCACTGACTTAGTGACATTAGACCTTTGTCGGACTTATCAACATGGAAAATAAATTCCTTCTGTATTAGGAAATAGGGATTGAAATTGGTTCAGAATCGTTGAAAAGCTAACACGTCAACGTAAAATCTTCGATAAAATCTATATTTCCGGTTTCAATGCATGCAATAAAATGCAGATTCCGTAAGCTATAATCTCCCTATCCTCCCTAGGTACGCACGATGTTCTTCGAACATTGAAGGGATTCGTTTTCGTGCGCACCAAGCGAAAAATAAAACAGTGATATAGGACGCGGTGCCCAGCGAGCACAAACATCCCTAGGATGTTTAGGAATGTTTTGAAAATGTTGGCATGAAGATGTTTTTTTGAGACGTAATATGCACTTCCCAAAGGATATTGAAGACATTTTTTTCTTCTTCTCTGGCCTTTCTTCGTGTGCCTACTGAGAGGTATCCCTGGGATGTTTTCGGATGTTCTGAAAATGTTGGCTTGAAGATGTAGTTTTGAAAAGTAATATGCACTTTTGGAGAGGTTTTTGAAGGATATTTGAGTATTGTTTTTGTTCTTCTATGACATTTCTTTGTGAACCTACTGAGAGGTATCCCTGAGATGTTTTGGGATGTTTTGAAAATTTAGGCATCAAGATGATTTTTGAGACGTGATATGCATTCCCAAAAAGGACATATCATAGATATCCCAGAAAACATTCTCGATACCCACTCTAATAATTATTAACGCGTTTTTGCAATATCTTACGGACTTTATTGATGACACTGTATGTATTTAGAATTTCGAGAAGGACTTTCTGTAATATGTTATTGTGACTTCCGGCTCCTTAAGACATTACTGAAATAGTATTGGGAATGGAAGAGAGTAATAGTAATATAGGAATCCCAAGTAATAAGTCTAAATTTCTACATTACAAACCAATGATGATAGATTCATAAATCGGAGAAGAACAGGATACATATCTATATGTGGTAAGAGAATGTGGAGTTTCTCATGACTCGTCCTGTATAACTCAGCATCAATTGAAGATTTTTATATTTTATAATATATTATATATTTCATTAGGGGATTTTACTTACATGTGAGGAGGAACTTCGAAGAAATGCTTATTGTCGTATTCTTTCACTGTTTTTGGTCCATAAATATTCAGGTCTCTGTATGGATTTACTGATATTAACACTGGTCCAATGTAAGTCTGAAATCATAAAAAAAAATTTGTATACCCTATTTCATTTCACATATTCGGATGCTGTTTTCTATAATTATTTGAGAAGAGATCTATACACTAGCGCCTGCAGAGAGAACGCCAGAAACAAAGCGCGTGGTGGGGGAATGTATACAGGGTGAGTCAAAACTATTAGGACATAGGATAAGGGCGGATTATTTGGACCAGAATAAAGCTACAGGACCAAATATGCCTTGATAGAATATTGCTGTGGAAAAAGATACAGGGCGTTAGAGTTGATTTTTTTCGTTTTTTGCTAATTATTTCACTGTATATTCATCAATTATCATCAAAATCAGCACAGAGGCATAATTTTACACAGGGAATATTATTTAATATATCATTCTACAGTTTGATACAGGGGGCGCCCCACGTGAATGATTCCTGGTGATGAAATCGACTGGTGACGTTTTTTGACGAAACTTTTTAGTGATTTTTATTATAAAATATGACATAAACCTTATTTCTACGTTATAATAATAATAATAATAATAATATATGTTTATTGCAACAAATAGAAATACAATACAATATATTGGTACTCTTGCTTGAACACGAAATTTCCATCAGTTTTCGATAAAACGCAATTGAAAAGTTCAAAAGTAGGAGATTTCAAATATTATTCCATTTATAAAGAGTGTGCTTTGGAATATCAGATAATTGTTGCTGGTTACATTTTTATAGTCACTACTTTTTCGATTGAAATACCCTGTATCTTTTTCCATAGCGATATTTTATTAAGGCTTATTTGGTCCTATCGCCATCTTTTGGTCGAAACAATCCACTCTCAGCCCATGTTCCAATTGCTATGACTCACCCTGTGGGTGACACAGGCTATCGGGCCACCCCTGTAACTTCTGCATTCGTCAACGGATTTTTCTGAAATTCGGTACAATTGTATAAGCAACTATTTCGGATTTGATCACATTACAATCCAATATGGCGGACTTCCGTTTTTTCTAGAAATGCCAGCAATTTTGTTTTTTCAAATGGAACACCCTGTATATTTTTACATATTCAAGTTCAACAGGTCAAAACAAGTGCAATCTTGATGTCAAATGTCATTTATTTCACAGCCTACCTAGTTGAAAAATTATTCTATGCAAGGAAATTCATAAACTAGTTGTTGATTTTTGAATGTATACAATTTGTTACTGCACCGAAAAACAAATATGATATTTCATTTTGTTCCTTAATGTATGTTCTAGAGAAACGGGCACGTGGCCCATAGGGGTTCCATTTGAAAAAAAAAATTTTGATCAAAAAGTGATGTGGCTGAATTGATTCCTGGATAAGTGACACAAAAAATAATTTTTCAGAAAAAATTATGTTCTTCTGTTATGTGTGACTAATTGTGAATAGTCTTGACCACATCTCATTTATCCACGAGGTAAAATGAAAAAACAATTTTAATTCAATTTTTTTCGAAAAAATGACATTTGAAATGAAGATTGCACTTGTTTCGACCTGTTGAACTTGAATATGTAAAAATATACAGGGTGTTCCATTTGAAAAAACAAAGTTGCTGGCATTTCCAGAAATACCGGAAGTCCGCCATATTGGATTGTAATGTAATCAAATCCGAAATAATTGCTTATATAACTGTACCGAATTTCAGAAAAATCCGATGACGAAAGCAGAAGTTACAGGGGTGGCCCGATACCCTGTGTCACCCGGTATATGGCCTATGCGAGCAACGCATTTGCCGACGCGCGGACTCTTCATATAACAATTTTCAAGCATCCGGATGGCACAGTGGTTGTGAATCCATGCGCCACGCTGGCAACTCGGGTTGACTTTTCAAATTTTGTTCTCAAGTGATTTTTCGAAAAATACACTTTTTAGGGAAAGGTCCATTGGAAAAAGTAATCTCATTTTTTACGTGAAAACGACATTTTCCTTCTTCAAGAAAAATGTTCATTTAGGCCGAGATAGCTTAGATTGTTTAGAAAACGTAGTGTCATTTCATTTTTTGGCTTTGCTAGGAAATAGTGCGTTACAAAACAGCGCGTGACAAAACAGCGCGTAACAAAACAGCGCTGTAACAAAACAGCGCGTAACAAAACAGCACGCAACAAAACAGCGCGTAACAAAATAGCGCTGTAACAAGAAAGTGTGTTCTGAAATAGCGTTCATTTCGGCTCATTATACCTATCTATCAGTGATTGATTATCCAACTTGTCAAGTGAGTAAGTCATTCGTGTTTCAATTTGACAACAATCACCTATTGCTTGTTTTCAGTGGAAAAATTACGTGGGAAGAAAAGAAATGAAATTGAATGCTCGTTTTTCTGCTCCTATACTGTGCAATCTATTTGAACGCATATACAAAAAAATTTGCCTAGAACAAATAACTCTTTGGAAGCTTGACACAATTCGTTCCAACATTCATTGTATTGCCATCATCCATCGTTTAATAAATTGATAATTTATAATGTGAAAAAATAACAGGATATCAGGCTGAAATGTTCATCACACGTGTCAAATGCGGCTTCAGACATGAGAAGGAGAATAATAGCAAACATGTGCAGCTCAACAAGATCAGAAAGATCAGTGAGAAATTATAACTTCGATCAAATTGAAGATCATTTGCAGTTTATTGCCGGCCTATGATCATAGATTTGTTTGTTATAGTTCACTAAATAGTTAAATTGAATATGCTATTACAGCGCTCTTTTGTTACGCGCTGTGTTGTTAAAGCGCTGTTTTGTAACGCGCTGTTTTGTCACGCGCTGCGATGTTTTGTTACGCGCTATTTCGTTGTAGAGCCCATTTTTTTATGCAGAAAGAATATTCTACACTCAGTTCCAAAAAAAGTGACGCACTTGATATTTGACCTATCTTCTTAAAAAAAAAAAACAAAAAATAGTAGGGCGATTTTTATTTGTTGGTAGGTAATGCATTTGTCTTAAAAAAATTAATAGGTAAACATTTTTTCAAAGCCTCCTTGATGGTGGTGGAATAACTCGAACCATGATTTATTCTTAATTTTTGACTCACCCTGTGTGTTAATTGAATAATGGTATACAAAGTGCTTACACCCTATACGAAAGAGGCTTCTTTTGCGAGCATTTTGTTTTTTTATTCATTGATTTATCTCTAAAATTTTCCGAATTACAGCTTTTTTGCTGATATACCTCACGCTTATCCCACAAATTAAATTTATTGAAGGATCAGAGTACTCAAAATTGATTGGGTTGTACTCTGGTAGGATCACATTGTCTTTAAAAAAACGAATGCCGTTGACATAGCAACTAATTTGTTGTATGCCTCCATATTTGACCATTTGTCGTTGTGTCATTAATTAAGTGTCTCAGTTTATTGACTAAAATTACATAAAATGCCTCAAATAAATCCTGAACAAGTAGCAAGATTAGTTGCGTTAGTAAACGATGGGCGTAGTAAACGTTACGCCGCTCGTGCAGTGGGAGTTCATGAAGCAACTGCTCGTAGAGCAATCCGCAAGTACGAACAAACAGAAAGCACATCTCGGAGGGTCGGTTCTAGTCGCCCCCGAAAAACTTCTCCAAGAGATGATCGCTTCTTGAGATTGCGGATTTTACGGAATCGGTCAAATACTGCGGTAAATGTTCAACAAGATCTTCGCCAAATTCGTGATGTTGCAGTAAGTAGGCAGACGGTATGTAGACGTCTAAAAGAAGTTAATTTAAGAGCTAGGAGAGCTGAAAAAGGTCCCAAATTATTGCCCCAACATCGTGCTGCTAGAAGAAATTTTGTTGAAAATTATGGACAGTGGAATATTCCTGAATGGTCGAATGTCTTGTTTACGGATGAGTCAAGGTTTTGCCTTAACATGGTGGATGGAAGGAAAAGAGTGTGGAGAAGAACTGGTGAACGGTTTAATCAAAATTCAATAACAGAATACGAAAGTTTTAATGGTGGGTCCGTTATGGTGTGGGGAGGGATTTCAATGAATGGAAAGACACCCCTTCATGTTTTCCCAGTGAGGCAGTCGATGAATGCTCAAATTTACATTGACATTTTAGAGCAGTATGTCTCACCTTATGCAGAGTTCGTGGGCAATAATTTTATATTGATGCAGGATAATGCCCGAACACACACTAGAAGCTACTGGTATTACCACATCACAATGGCCTGCGAGAAGCCCCGATATGTATCCTATAGAACATTTGTGGGACGAATTAGGGAGAAGGGTACGTTCTCGTGAGAGGTCTCCGGAAAGTCTCGCAGAATTGGCAGATGCATTAGTGGAAGAATGAGATCGTATACCAATGGAAACGATAAGCAACTCAATTTCCAATATGCCTCGTGGATAAGAAGTTCTTAGAGTTGCTAGAGGAGGCAATACACGGTATTAAGCAGTCATCCCAATATATAATTTTGTGTTTGATAAAAATGTTTTTTAAAATTATTGGTATCAGTTTATTTCATTAGAAAATTGTTTATCGATAAATTCAGAAAGTTGGTAATCTGCAAGGATTCTGCAAAAAAAGCTGTAATTCGGAAAATTTTAGATACAAATCAACGAATAAAAAAAACAAAATGCTCTCAAAAGAAGACTCTCTGAGCAACCGGGAAAGGAAATGCTAGGTAATCGTTCCTAACGCGATGCAACATTTACCCATCAACCGCTTTTTACTTGCGTCCTCTCTGCATACGCTAGTGAAATTTATAGTTACAAGATCGCTGATGAAGCGACTTCCAACTGGTTATATTCAGGGCAAATTATTGAAGAATGTAACACGTTTCCTATTCGATAGTGAATTTTCTGGAATTGCAATTGTTATCATATTTTTTCAATTATTCAAAATAAAGATGTTTATTTTTCGAGAAATGTGACTCTTTGTATTTTTGACCAGAAATATTATCCAATGCAGTATTTTTGGGAATTTTTTCTATATTTTGCACAGGTTTGGTCATCAATCTGTACATTTACTTTCATCAGTGATCTTGATAGTTTTGTCTTCACAGTAAATGAATGCACATATGAATATGTTGAATAATCACGAAAATGTATTTAGTTGCAGAGACAAATTGAACGGTTTTACATTTTTGTACAGTATTATGTACTTATGGAAACTATTTTTATTTTTATAGAATGAAACTTCCTTAGAATTTCATCTGTCGAATCGAAGAACAGCGTACATTATTTTCCTCTGGGAATTAATCTTGATTATCTAATCAATCTTTCATAATGATTATCGTATACCACATCGAAATGTGCGATGAATTTGCACTAGATATAACGCCTGATAAAAAAATTATAATAGTAACATTGGGTGTGGCTTCGAAATACGAACAATTTATATTTATATTTTCGAAATGTCACTTCTGTGGTATCCCGATATCCAGTGGATGCAGAATATTTTGCAGAATTTGAGATTGTAAGTAGACACTAGCAGTAGTATTATTGTGGGGAGCCTCATGGGCCCTTTTTCAAACCCCTGCTCTCCACATATCTACACATCCGTCTTCTGATGACGGCCTAGATGTCTGTACTCTCTAATTCGATCAAATTCTCTTGTTGTAGTTTATCCACCCCAAAGATTCAGAATATCATCCTTCCATATGCCTCACACTCATTTTCGCATTCACTGCATGTGAGCCTCACATCTTCCACACAGTGTTTGGCGGTCCCAGCCAAGCATCCACGAGAGAAACCAGCTTTTTTGATTGTCTGTAGCCGCTCAGATATATTCCTCCAATATCCGACTTATCTATTTCGTTGAAAGCGGACGAAGCTTGGCTTCTTGCAATGGCCAGTACAGGCTTGGGCCCAAGAATTTTGTGGAACTGATTCTTGCCAGCTCGTCTGGCACTTCGTTACCAGGCATCTAGTTGGATAGATCGTAGGTGAGAGCTCCTACTGAGTTTTCATGAAGATCGACAATGTTTCAGTTCAGCTAGTTTCTCAAAAGCATCACCGTATTCCTGCATCATTTATGAGCTTGGTTTGAAGTGGCAGTTAGCTTTGTTCGCTGCTCGACTATCCGAGCTGATGTACACCTTCTGCTCTGATCCCTATTTCACCTTTTGGCCCTTTGCTACGGCCAGAATGGCGAATACTTCAGCCTGAAAAACTGTACAGTATTTTCCTAAGGCGTAGCTCCCTTTTATACCTCTTCCTTTCAGGTGTAGGTAAATTATTCCTGCACCAAAGTCCTGTTTTTTGGTTGGGCGCATTCCCGAAACATACTTTACAGGCCAGCGTAGCCTCGTGGTTAAAGCGTCAATGTTCTATCCACGTTGGATTGCCGGTAGGTGGGCTCGATTCCCACCACGACCGCAGAAATTTTTCTGATGGCCTAAGAAAGTGTTTGGGATCACACTTTAAAAGGTAAGACCCCCGTCATTCCTTGCTTGCACAAGTCTCTTGAAGACTTCTGAGGGTTGCTCGTAAGGGGGCAACCGAATGATGGATGAGAACGAATTTAGAACAAAATACTATACTTTCTGATCGGAATTCCACTCTGTTCTCTTTCTATTGTTTCCTGATTGGAATAGTGAAGCTAAACCTTCTTTTCCGTATCTGCCAATTCTGAGCGTTCTTCACTCTTAGGGTGGAGATAGGAATCTCCTGTTCCACCCATTTAGTAATTTCCGCGTGACCAATCACTGCTTTTTCGTTAATAAAGCTATCAGAGTCCCGCATCCTCAGATGGGCTGCCATTGCTTTCCTCTTATAACCCAGACTGGAAGTGCTGCAGTTGGCTTCCTCATTGCTCCTATGCCATCCTCTGAACCTCAACTTTCGACTAATTGTGCTAGTTTTTACGCCTAGCCACCACACATCTGATCCGTACAGTGTCTTTGGTCTTACAACGCCTGTGTATACCCAGCGCATATTCTCGGTCTAAGTACCCCAAGCAACCCTCCAGCAACCCTCCTTAATCGCCACAGGATTTCTACCGACAGTGCCTGTACTTGCCTTGTCGAAGGCCCCCTCTATGGGAAGAACACTTCCAACGTCACCTCTTTGAATTCTTATACTTAGGAGGCTAAACCTTCTATTCCACCTCTGCCCATTCTGAGCGTTCTTCACTCTTAGGGTAGAGATAAGAATCTCATTTTGCAATTTACGCGTGACCAATCACTGCTTCTTCGTTAACCAAGCTCCCAGAGTCCCGCATCCTCAGATGGGCCGTCATTGCTTCCTTTTTAATACAGATTGGAAGCGGTGGCAGCCACAACAGGTCCTCCAGCGCTGCAGTTGGCCTCACCCTCATTGCTCCTCTAATTGCTAGGCAGGTCATCCTCTGAAGTTTCCCCAACAACCCTCCATAATTATCACAGGATTTCCACCGACGGTGTCTGTCCTTGTCTGGTCGAAGGCTCCCTATATGTCGAAGAACACCCCCAACGTTATCTCCTTGAATTCTAATGTCCTCTCGATCCGGCTAACTATATAGCTTGAAGGGCCGATTCAATCAACCTCCAAGCCGTCTTGTGAAAATAAATCATAAATCGATAGAACAAGTCACAAGTATAAAATTTCTGGGCGTGACAATTGATGAAAAGTTGAGTTGGAGAGATTATATTGAGAATCTGGTAAAAAAATTAAGCGGTATCAATTTCATTATCAGACAGCTGAAGGGCACTATATTTTTTATGTTCTCATGGCATACCATGGACTTGTATGTGCTTGTATCGTCGGCACTCAGTTACGGTTTGATCTTCCGGGGAAATTCACCACATAGTGACAGAGTATTTATTGCACAGAAGAAAATCATTAGATGCATAATGCATCATGTAAGACTAATTTTAAGATACTGTAAGTTCTTACTTTATCATCTCTCTATATATATCTTTTGATTTTGAATAGAAAAGGAAGCAGGATATGTACATCAAAATTAATGAAATTCACCATCACCATACTGGCAATAAGAATGACCTTCGTTTACCATTTTCAAGGCTAACTGTTGGACAGAATTCTCCCATATATCAAGGAATATTATGTTTGAATCATTTTAACAATATTTTCAGTAAGATTGAAAACTTCAATACTTTCAGAACAACAATATTCAATTATTTATGTAAAAATGGCATTTTATTCCGTTGAAGAGTATCTCACTTCGAGATGATTGAATAATTATTTTTTACCACACCATATATATTTCCACCATGTGTACAATTTTTGTTTCGTGAATGGGGAGAGAATGGAACTTGACTAGTCTGATTAGTTTATATGTAACTATATGTGTAAACTTCAATGATGAATAAATATCTATCTACCAATCTATCTATCTATCCCCTTTTTGTATACGATTGTTGATTCCTGCGGTAGGGGTTCGCCGTTAGGGGCCCCTATAACAGGATCCTGTCCTTCATACTCTCCAGCGTTATAAGTGGAAATGTCTTAGACTGATGGGTCTGGAAGACTTTGCTACTTTGTAGTCTTTTTCTCATTCTTGGGATGTGGACCTACTGATTTACAGGCTTTCGGAACATATGCTAGTGCTAGACTGGTCCGGAAAATTCCTCACAATATCAGTGTAAGGAGTCTCAGGCCCCTTTAGGCATTGCCTACAAAATTCCGTCAGGCCTTGCTGCGTCATATGGATTACTTCTCGAATCAAAAGATACGATTTCACTATCTGTGAAAATATACTGGGAACAGCTAAAAAGTGTAAGACTTCAAATATAATAGGTTCCAGAATATCTCCTCATCATTACAAAGACCTTTCGGAGGGCTTCCCAAAAGTACCCCACTCAATATAATTCTATTATCTTCTCTTCTATATTTCTCAATCTGACGGCATTCAAAACTAACAGAGTTTGATCAATATTTGAATGATTTTCATTGTATCACTACTTATGACATTTAATTCACATTGACGGTGATAACTAGAAATTAATAGTTATTTATACATCAAGGTACTAAAGAATATCAATCATCATTACCCAAGGACCAAGATTATATCCCGAGGCTTCAGCCGGGTATAAGCTATTGGTAGCTTTCTATCACTACAAATACCTGATGATGATTGGTAGGATTGAGGATATTGAAGAAATAGCATTGGTTCTTAGAATATGCGTTCATTAATCAGTTATACTCACATATATCACATTTTCGTTGAATCTTTTGTTCAAATTATCTACAAATGCTTCTTCACTAGTGTAATTTTCCAAAAGAACTGCATCCTGTACTCCCACTCTATCTCTGTCATGGAGGAGTTGTTCCATTATTCACCTGAAAAAAATTAACGTTCCTATAATATTATATACACTTATATTTTTAATTCATTGAGGAGATCATGAGAATTTTGTTTCCTCGACTGCCACTAGGTACAAATGTAATTGTCCATATTCGGGCTATTTATCCTATGCACAGATCAGTGGCATAATTAAGATTCATCCCTGGGGGGGTTTAGGTCCAATATCCACTATTTAGGAAAAAGAAAAGCAATACGTAACTTACGCTGGTCTTAATAATTGTGTGCATCATTTGGTAACAATAACAAAATGATCATGCGATCATAATAATGCATCAAGTGCAAGTATTGCAGTACTGCACGCCTCTGAAATATCAGTATCAAATGTTTTTTCGACATGCGTTCAATAAAAAAATCACACAGAATTGGTTTTATATCATTTGGAGAAAAAATGCTATGTTTCACACGGCAGCAAATGTAGATTGACTGCCTTGGCTGAATTCCTAGCCTCGCTATGCTCGGCTATGAACGATATCATCAGCCGGGGCAGTCAATCTACTACTTTCCTCCCTAGTATAACAAATAACTATTCTGCGCTGCTATATATTTTAAGAACGAATGTCGACTTGTGATATGTCGTCGAGAAGGACATTTTTCGCTCTATAGAATGAAGTAAAAATATATGGGTATACAGGGTTCTATTCAACATTCTCGACCTAGGTCTAGTTATTTTTTTGGAAATTTTCAGAAGTCGAACATGAAAAAAAACTGAATGACGCCCTATCCAGTGATTTTGTTGTCACTCTGTATGTTCTAACATGTACAGAGGAAAGGGAAGGATACAAAAGCATGAAGTAGGTACGAGGAAAAGTATACTACAATACTAGAGTTGTAATGTAGTATTACGTATTCGTGATGTTTGTGTAACTTTCATGGTGTTCGTAACTGTCATAAAAAATAATAATATTCCGATAAATTGGTGTGATCCTGATTCCTGATTCCAGTGTTGCCGTTAGGGGGATATTATTGTGTGTTGTTCACTAAAAAGTGAGCAATGGAGGAAAATTTTCATATTCAATACATAACTATAAAATGCCATCCAATTTCGTACAATAGAGGCACGATGAAATGCACCGTTCTCGTGAAAACGAGACCAGACTCCAAAGTTTGATGTGGATAATATGTAACATTTTGCACTATTTCAGTCCTGTAGCAAACTGAATTTTGCTATCTGAAAAAGCTCTTTAGGGTGAACAGAAGAAAAATCTATACATACTTTCAACTGACAACCTGTCCATAGAAAACGAAGCAATTTCATGCAGACAAAACAAATGAATAATCTCTCTCAATATGTATATAACATTCAGGAACACCCTGTATATGACACACTATAATGTATGATGCGTACCTAATTTTCTGTTCTGAAATATGGACCTCTTCAGCAGTCTATAGTTATTTTTGAGGTTAGAAATTGATTGTAGTCCTACATTTTTTGAAATAGGGTGATGTTTTTCCAAATACTAAGGGAATTAATGGGGTTTCAAATCACATTATATCGTTAGTATAGACACAGTATTTGATATTCTTGGTAAATTATCATCTTCAAATATGTATTGTGAAATATTCTTGATACGTCGATATCAATAAATTTATCGAGATTTATCGCCTCGATTATGCATAATCGTAAAACTGTAAGAATACAATCATTATTGATGTAATAATGGTCCATTTGATATGATATCACGTTTAAAATTATCTATGATATAATTTGCTTATCAGTACAGCTTGGTTGGGCATACCTGCATTGTTCGACAATTTTCCTTATCAACAATCATATAAAATATTTGATGATTGATTCCATTACTTATTACTTTTATGATTCTATAACGACCAACAGATTCTGCCCCCACTCTCCACTTTTCATGGTCCAGCTATTTTCCAAAAAACGTATTTTCAAATACTGTCTGTAGGTTAATCGAGGAGGTGGTACATTCATTATTCCAAATTTTTTGGGATTTTCGTTCCTCGTTTCTATAAAATAAAAAATATGAATATTATTTCAATATACGTGTAGTAAGGACAAATCAGATGATTTGCCCCAAAATGTCACTGCGTTTAAAGAATTTTCCTATCAGAGAGCCTAAACGAAAAATTCACTAGCTTGTTTTGGAGAAGAGAAATAAAGGTATATAGAAAAAATATCAAATTTTCACTTATCTTTGGACGTTTCGGGACCGATTCTGCTCCCGTTTTCAACATGAAGAGATTTTTTCAATTGCGAAGTCGTATAATAATTATGTCTTGAAGCTTTTCAGTTTTCAATGACAATTGGTGACGGAGACAATAGCATTGCTTCTTGTTCAGTTGATATAGACAGAACATGGTATTCACTACTAACATCTGAACATGAAAATGGTAAATTCAAGATTAATTAATGAAAACATCCTGTAACTCCTTTGATTGCCAACGTCACCAATTGTCATTGAAAACTGAAAAGCTTCAAGACATATTATACGACTTCGCAATTGAAAAAATCACTTCATGTTGAAAACGGGAGCAGAATCGGTCCCGAAACGTCCAAAGATAAGTGAAAATTTGATATTTTTTCTATATACCTTTATTTCTCTTCTCCAAAAATTTTTCAATACAAATTGTCACTGACAAGCTAGTGAATTTTTCTTTTAGGCTCTCTGATAGGAAAATTCTTTGAACGCAGTGACATTTTGGGGCAAATCATCTGATTTGTCCTTACTACACGTATATTGAAATAATATTCATATTTTTATTTTATAGAAACGAGGAGAGAAAATCCCAAAAATTTTGGGGTTCAAGTTTCGTTTAGCTGAAATCAGTTATGGAAAATTTGTTGCTATGACAACCGTTGTCATGGTAACTGGTAAATAGAAAACAAAATCCCGTGGTGAGGAAATGCATGGTTGCCAAGTTGTATCGGGTTTAGTATAGCTGAAATCAGTTATGGAAAAACTGTTGCCATGGCGACGATCGTCATGGTAAGGAGTGAACAGAAACCCGATTCCCGTGGTGAGGAAATGCGTGGTTGCCAAGTTGTATCGAGTTTAGTTTGGCTGAAATCAGTTATGGAAAAACTATTGCCATGGCAACGATCGTCATGTTAACGAGTAAACAAAAATTCGATTCAAGTGGTGAGGAAATGCGTGGTTGCCAAGTTGTATCGGGTTTAGTATAGCTGAAATCAGCGCATTCTTCGACCCTCAAATTTTGTTTCACAAAAGTTCTTGCTAGTATTCAAACAATAACTTGATTCGAATGAATACCCTCCTTATCAATTTCTTGAAGACTGTTCGTCGTTGAAAAATTCCCTAATCACTACTTCTCTGACGATCATATATGGAAATAACGTCAGGAAAAAATATGCTTTGTTATTGAACAGAGCTAGACAAAATAGCTAGCGACGAAATAGTGCGGAACAAATAGCGCATAAGGAAGGATACTACTTTTTCTAAACAATCTAACCTACCTCGGCCTGAATGAACCTTCTTAGAAAAAATATATTTTTCAACATCGATCGGATTTGGTAGCAAGGCATCGTTCGTGTGTGTTTGGAGACTGCATAAAAAAGGACACTACTTTTTCCAAACAATCTAACCTAACTCGACTTAAATCAACCCTCTTCTTGAAAAACATATATTTTCCAACATCGTTCAGATTTGGTAGCAAGGCATCGTTCGTGTATGTTTGAAGACTGTTGCTGAATCAAAATGTGCGCGTGAAAAAAGGTATAGGTGAATCGAAATGATGGCAAATGGAAATGTTGGTGGGCCTAACGAGATGTTTCCATCTGTATTAGACAATCAGTACCTATACTCTCTCTTCCTATATCCTGCGGGATACCTCGTTATGAATATTAAAATGGCTCTGTTCCTTTTTGATTTTGTCCAATAGCTCGGCACGCGAAGGATGGTTACATTGAATAGTGTTTTTGAAATTAATGAATGAAGCAATAATTCTCCGATTCAACTTGGCAGCCACGCATTTCCTCACCACGAAAATCGGATTTTTGTTCACTCGTTACCATGACGATCGATGCCATGGCAATAGTTTTTCCATAACTGATTTCAGCCAAACCAAACCCTATACAACTTGGCAACCACGCATTTCCTCACCACGGGAATCGGGTTTTGGTTTACTCCTTACCATGACGATCGTTGCCATGGCAACAGGTTTTCCATAACCGATTTCAGCTATATTAAACCCGATACAATATGGCAACCACGCATTTCCCCACCACGATAATCGGGTTTTTGTTTACTCGTTATCATGACGATCGTTGCCATGGCAACAGTTTTTCCACAACTGATTTCAGCTATACTAAACCCGATATTCAACTTGGCAACCACGCATTTCCCCACCACGGGAATCGGGTTTTTGTTTACTCGTTACTATGACGATCGTTGCCATAGCAACAGTTTTTTCATAACTGATTTCAGCTAAACGAAACTTGAGCCAAATTTGGAATAATGAACGTATTTTCAACCAAGGGGTTATTTGGATTATGAGAAACAAGAAAAAAGTCATTATAGACCTAATATAAATTGCAGAATAGATATTATAAACAATTCACTTTGTATAGTATTATTATTAGTGTTTGGGATCACACGTTAGAAGGTATAAGGGCCCGTCATTCCTTGCTCTTGAAGACTTCTAAGGGTTGCTCGTAAGGGGGCAACCAAATGACGAATAAGAACAATTTTAGAAAACAACTACTTTCCTGGCTATATGCCACGACGAACATTGAATTACATCTATTGAATACACACGATAAGAATAGGCCTTTTCATTTAGATGACAAATGACTATCTCTGTTTTTTGGAATTAAATTATTAATACAATCAATACACACCAGGAATATGAAAAAAAACTATGTTATTGTTGACGAATGCCCATGGTGATTGACACTGTTGACAATTGACAAAACGTCAATATAATACCCGCTATATTCGATATGGCCAATCAGCATTTTGTGTTGGAACTATAGCCAATGAGGCTTCACCTTCGC